TACTAAATACGTATAGTATTTAATTTCATAGAAATACAGTAACCATCAATGTTAAAAATAACAAAATAAAATCAAGTATCAAGTAAGTTTAATCCACAAAATATATCAAACTTTTAAGGATACCGTACTAAAACCGTGTTTGAATTTGCCGCGCTTTTTCGTTATCTTCTTTCATTACCAAGCTTTCATGATATTGAATATGTATGACATAGCTACTTTTTATACAAAGATGTTTATAAATGTTAATATAACCAAATATTGTCGAAAGATGACATTGGTCAATATTACTACAGCTACCATGTAGCCAAGTTTAACTAGATACGAAACACTATTAGTACTATCACTAATTAGCCTGTGCAGCGTGAGATGTGTACGAAAATTGAGTTTAATAAGTTTGCAACTGCAATCTATTGCAATATGTGAAACTATGTTTTTAGGTCAGGTCATTTAAATAGTCCTCTAAATTGCCAATTTGTTCGGCTTGTTTCGACGCGGAATAGTTTGAGGGCTTTTGATCAAGTTTTGCACTGTGACTAGGTCCGTTTCATTCAAATACGCATATATTATGAAGTAATTTTAATGTAGCTTTATGCACTTGCGATTGCGAACATATTATCTTTACTATGTGATAGTACTTTATTAGAACTCTAGCTTGGTGACGGTTATTAATATAAGTTTGTTTTTAATATTTGTATTTTAAATTGTTATTGAACTTAATATATTGTACCAATGGCGCGAAATGTAAAATATGTCATAGAGTATAGATCTCGATGAATTGGCGCGCTTTCTAGCAAACAGTGTAATAAAAACTCCTTGATTATAGTTGGCATAAGCTTAGAATATGATTTATTCTGTTCATTTACGTTTTAGTTAATAACAGAAAAACAATAACTAACCTTAAAATATAATAACTAATACATTATTATAAGGAGTCCCTTTAGGCAAGGTTCCGAAGATACTGGCAGCGTTTCCCATTTGAATAGCTAGACTAAATCTTTGTCCGAGGTAGCGCCCAGCTCTCTTACTTACACTCATATATTATGTAGTTGTTAAGTGATAGAAGGCGCAGAAACGTGCTCGCCGCTCAGTCATTTATACCGTAGCAATAATGGTATTACTTTGTAACTAACCTACGTTAATACAGCGATAGTAACCCCTTAGGTAAGGTTGAATATTTTAAACTTAAAAATCGACAACAGTTTGATTTTTTTAAATATAATAGGGGGTCAAGCGAGCCTACTGGAAGCCTATAAAGGGCAGTCATCGCAGCCCATGGAACCTTAATTAAGTGGATGCGTTGCCGGCCTTTCAGGGAGGACACTCTAACTTTGAATAGTTAGAGGTCGTATCTCTCAGGGAAGAACCCAACCGGGAGTCGATTCCACAGTTCGCTAAGTTGGAAAGTGCCTTGTGAAACAGGCTGTGGAAGACTTGGTATAAATATGTTCCCAATCGAAAAGTAATAAAAAAAGCAATTACAGCTAATATAAGAGTATTTGTAATGACCTATCAGTGACTGTCAAAATCGGAGTTATTCAAAGAAACATATATTTTTAAACGTTAACAAAAGCGACAATTTGGATGTAAATAAATATGGTTGTAATAGCTTATACTTAATGATAGAACGACCATTTAAAGTATTTGATTGGAAAAACAACTGTAGTTTGAAATTTACGGCGTCAGTGCATTTTATAGCTCGGAACGTGCCATGGATCGTAAATGAATATAAGTGCTTCAGCGGTGTTTATTAAAGCTATTTGTTCTATATAAACAGTATAAAATGGTTGATAGGATGAGTATTTTGCTATTAAAATCAATTTATATACATTCTGCAAAACCTACAGGCAAGGCAATGAAGTTTGGTATCAAAGAAGTCATAATTTATTTACTGGAATTTACTATAAAATACTGTTAAGGCAAAAGAGAATTGCGTGAGCTCCAAGTGACAGATTACGTTGGCCAAGACTCTGGGTCACTGAGCCAACGCAGAAAATGGAAGGATAAAAAAATTAAGGTAATTTCAATCCCTCTGCAATATGATATGGAGAAAATTACTGCTTAAATTTAATGTAAAAGCTAAACAGACCAATCAAATATACAGTATTTACAATTTTCTTAACCTACATAGTAATAATAAAAACTCCCTTCCTCGGACAAGCATAAAAGCTGGGGCGGCCGCAGAGCAGGCGGTTTAAACGGCTCAAATATAAGAGTCTTTCCTCCAACTTCGATTTTATTCCCTTTGGAGTAGAGACTCTTGGGCCGTGGGGTTCAACGGCACAGGCGCTAATTAAAGATTTAAGTTGGCGCCTGGTAGATATTACCGGTGATCCCAGAGCTGGTGCTTTCCTCGCTCAATTATAAGTATTGCAATACAGTGAGGAAATGCTGCCAGGGCTAAAGGTACACAGCCAGACCAAACTTTTTAAATTTGTTTAAATTTTCTTTTTATTAATTTTTAATATAAAATATATTTTGCATTGTCATTTTATAGAGTAAAACAGCTTTCTACTTTTGTAGAATTCGTATAATTCGCTTCGTACTAATAAAAAACTTAATTTATAAACATAATGCAAACATCTATTTATAAGCAAATGTTTAATATAGGATTTAAGTGGGTCGGTTACTTATCAAATTTATGACGCTTTTGTGGTTTCATGAGTTCATCCAAGCTATGACATTAGGACTTTATCAAAATACTTAGTAAATATATTATTTTATTACACATTTCGTAAATCATTCATGAAATTCACTTTGGCATTATATTCCGTAGTGATATGAATTAATTGGGAGTTTTATTGGTTAATCAAACGAGTTGAGTCAGCAGCAAAATATACTGCAAAACGTAGCATCTTTATGCCTTTGTATAATAACACTAACCACCACAGGAATTTAATTTGCGCTCGCTCTACAAAATCGTATAGTGGGCCATTCAATTTCTAACTATTGAATTATTAAATATTGAATTTATACAGATTCTCAAGTATAAATTCAATATTTAATAATAATACATTATTCAGACATCCGTTACATTTTAAATCGCGTCCATTTAATCATAATCAAAGTTATCTTCAATAATACACAACTGATCAAAAACATCCGCTATCTTGTTTACCAATCGGTTTAAATACATTCGCGGTGTAAATTTTGACCTTTACCTTTTGACGCTGAATTTTGTTTATCAGTGACAAAAATATCTAAACGGTTAACGGTATCAAATCAAATCAAAAATCATTTATTCATTTAGGTTTGGCATTAAATGCTTAATGCTTCTAATTTTACATTTACTGCCAGTTCTCAAATAAAGGGCGCAGAACGGAAGAGATGAACTTGCAATAAACTCTCCGCCACTCTTTTTAATCGCCAAGTTTTGTTTTACACAATGTTTGTAAGGAGCTGCAACCATTACACCATGTTCCACATGACATTTTAAGTAATTAATAATAATACAATAAACAATAAAAACAAAGATTTGTCCTCTATCAGCATATGGTGAAATAGGAGCACGCACGTACATTCTTGTTATATAAGTTATCACTTTGGTAGGCTAAGGTATTTTTGATCCCTATATGAAAGGGCCTGGGGGGGGTACTTTAGGTTGAAGATATAATTCCATGTATTTCTCACCCACTCAATTACATACGCTGAAAATCAAAGTAACATTACAGATATCTGGCTCACAAAGCCGAACATCTGTTTAAGTATGATTTATTCGGTCAATTTAACGTTGAATGCCTCGAGGTTATCTCCTACGCCAGACAGTGTGCCAAACATATACTGTAGACTCCATGTTAACTTTACAAAAGTTTTAATAATAAAAAATGCCAAAATAGATAACTAAAATAAATTATAGTTTGATCCCGGTGTACCTTCAAAGCTGTATTTCCTCGTTGTATTGCGATACTTATTCGTTGAGCTAGGAGAGCACCAGCTCTGGGGTGACCGGTACTATCTATCAGGCGCCAAATTAAATATTTGATTACCGCCTGTGTATTTGAACCACGGCCCAAGAGTCTACTCCAAAGGGAACAAAATCAAAGTTGGAAGAAAGACCTTTATTTCGGCCGCTTACTAGTTTGCCTGCTTTGCGGCTCCGCCAGCTTATGTGCTTGTCCGGAGGTGAGACGGGACTATCGTATTCACACAAGTAGCATACCAAAGCTCGTTTCATCTTCCAAGGAATCAAAGGCATCCCGTTCGCTTGCCCCTAGCAAAGCTTATTGGCTCCAAAACAGCCGAAACAAATAAATAATTTATAACAAAGTATCCTATACAAATCACTTTAATATGCCACTGTACACACACACACTTCACATATACCATTGAGAAGGATCAAAAACGTTTTCTTAGAGAACTTTGCAATCGTCTACAATTGCGTGCGTGCAAACGTACGAGAGTGTAGACGATTGATCGTTGAGACTATTACCAATTAGATACCCTAAAACTCGGACGTGACTTCATGGACATTGTTTATTTGTATAAAATAGTTTTAGCGTTAATACTCATACTGACGTTCTTGGTATGTTTTCCATTCCTTGTAATCCTAGAGTTACTAGAAATAAAATACTTTTATACGTACCTACGGCACGCTCCGCTACTTTTAATGTTTCAGTGAAGGCCTCGATCCTTTACAAACATCTATGAAAATATTGATATATTAATTCATAAGTCTTTTCACGTACCGTAAAATTGTTTATTTTGCTCTCAATGAGGTATTAGTTTTTTTAGTTTATTTATTAAATGTTTGGGACTTTAAAAAACTATAAAAATATGTTGGCAAGATTAAACGCAATCTTTATTATTAATATTTTAATATTTTTTACAGATTTAAACAAAATCATTGGTTGTTTGTTCTTAAACTGCCTTATATATTCTGTTTCCCTGTATTAAATTTAACTATTCAATACATATTAAAGATAACAAAACCTTAGTGTAGTTTTGCATATTATAACCTATCTTTACCCGATTCACATCGAAGAACATGCACACAGCAGTGAACTATGTCTGAGGGCAAATCGGTCACCGGTCAAATGAAGATCGCGTGTTTCTCTCTGTCTGAACTAACTTATAAGGTAGAGTAAAAATAAAATTCACTCATTCATTCAAACTAAATCTAACGTCTAACGGCACTTTTTCAACTAAAGTACTCTTTCGTCTCTTTCTGTCTGTATTTACACTGTTATAAAAAGAGAAGGTCGCCAAAAAAAAAGGTGGATAGAAGAAATAGAAGCGGTAGCAGGAAACGAATGGAGAAAGAGAGCCATAGACAGAGTCAGTTGGAAAAAGCCGGAGGAGGCCTTCACCCGTGAAGGGGTTCCGATCGACGGTACTGAAGGAAGCTAGAATATAGAATAACAAGCAAAAGAAAAAAAAATGTATAAAAATGTTAAATAATCTAAGCTGTGTATAATAATTTGTTTTTTTTTGTCATGATTGGAAATAAAACGGGCTTTATTATTTTATTATTATTATTATTAAAAAGAGAAGGATTTATTCTAATGCGTTTTCATACTTATAAAGAATGACTATGTGTGTTTAGCAAAAACTGAATAGGAAACTCATTATTCATGTTATATTCGTGCTATATTTTATTTTTTAAATACTAACTGTTATTTTGAAATGAAATCTATTTAAATACACGAAACTAAAACTGCTTACTGCGAAACGTTCAATAAATAACAAGCTTGGTCATAATTTTAATAATTTCACGAGTTTACCCCACTCTGTTTGGCTTTCCGCCAAGTTATTAAATAAATAAGAACATATTTGTTTGGACACAATGTATCGATTCAAAATTTAATATAAAACACCTTTTGTTGATGGCGTGATAATTTTAAAATACTTTTCAATAAAAATAATGGTTAATGTGTCTTTTTAAATTAAATAAAAGTAACTTTTCAATATTATTTACGGCTTTTAAAGTTGAACTGGCGTATCTAGGGGCTATTTTCAGGGCCATGGTCTAACCGCCCATGTTTTCATGTAGGGTAACTAATTCTTGACTTAAAATTCTATGTCACCCAAATGTGGCAGCAGCCAGCATTTTTCTATGCTGAGGTAGCGTAGGTCCTGAACAGCTACTACTTCTTGCGATGTCGTTTAAATATGATGCTAATTTAAATCTAAATATATATATATATATATATATAAATATTCCTACAAAAGTGTTTAGCCCTTTGTGTAAAACGTAAATCGTCCATCCTCAAAATATTTCATATACATTTGGACAATATAATAAAGCTGTATTTAAGTGCTTCATTAAATTAATTAAAACCAGGACAGTAAAGTGAAATAAAAAAAAATATGGCAAAATGCCAAATGCTGAAAGTAAAATTTTATTGAAATAGTACGTAGATTTGGCCCAAACCCAGTTTAATTCAATGACACCCATTGAGATGATAAAGCTCGATTTTATTCAGTTCTGCTATCGACATTGCTTACTTAGAGAACTTTAACGTTTGTTTGGTAAAGTTTTGAAGACCTACACTAGTAAAGAACTTCTAGTTAAATACTTATTTCGAACGTGCAAATAAATAAATATTTAAAAAAGATCTTTGTTTAAAAGTTATTGGTTATAAAGCCGCCCATTACCCGTCGCGATATGCTAAATAAAAGTATTTTTATTTGAAAACTGGCTGACCCGGCAAACGTTTGTTTTTCCATGTATATTATTTATAGGAAACATTTTTTTAGTTCAATAAAAATAACTATCTACAATGATAAAGAATAGGGGTTGATCGTAGAGGGGTGAAAATTAGGGGTTTTATGTATTTTTGTGTATGTACCATAAAATTTAAAAATTGGGATGGACACCCCTCATCACTTAGGGGTTAGAAAGATAGATAGTAGCCGATTCTCAGACTTACTATATACGAATATGCATAAAAAAATTCATAAAAATCTGTCGAGCCGTTTCGGAGGAGTATTGAATCGAACATTGTGACACGAGAATTTTAAATATTAGATATAACCAACTTCAAAATGCCCTAAAAAGTTTTTTCAAATTTGCATGAAGCTAAATTGAATATCCTGAAAAGGTTTTTGAAGTCTATTAAAATAAATTAGGAGACATTGAATTAAAAATAAATCCTATCGTGTAATGAGGGACCAAATTTGATACCGAGAACGAAAACAATAGTTCTGCGTAATAAATAATGGATTCTATTTTAAGACACATTACAATACTTTCCATTGAATGCCTTTTCTAGACAAATAGGATTAAATTGTCGGTAAAGCAAAAGGAAATATAGTCCCAGCCCACATTCCCTACATTCATTCCGGATTAGAGGCATTCTTACGGTGTATCCACACACCTACCTACTGCACGTCGCTATTCGCGCGAACTGACTTGTTAGCATGCGCGACATGTCTTGCGCCACAATTACTCGATAGTATAATTTATTTTTATATTATCACGCCTTTTTCCCGAAAGGATAAGCAGAGACCACCACTTGATCTCCACTTGCTACGGTCCTAATATACCTCTGTGTAATTGTCTCGTTCTTCGTCGTTCTTCTCGTTAATTTTCTCATTCGTCGACTTCATTGCCTCGTCGGTTATTTACTTTTAACTTGTCCCTTGTCTTGTACCTCCTGGATTTGGTCCATCCTATCCATGCCTACCCTACCCATCAACAGTCGCTTTGTATATCCTACTTGTTAACCGCTTACTATCCATCTATTATCCATTAACAAACCACCAAAGCATTCCCTAGAATAATGGGAATAGATTTATAGTCTCCCTTAAAACTACGATAGATAATTCTCAACGTACAATAAATGCTTAATATGGGCAATTTACATACGCTAAATATTAGAGCAACGCAAATGTCTATCAGTTGAAATACATAGTTTCATGACAATTCAAAATACCCTTTGACAGTACTTGAATCCATCGTACCAGCGTACCATCAACAACGTAAACCCTTTGGAGGCGTAAACTTCATATTGCTATATATTTTTTGTGTCAATAAGGAAACGTTCTACTAGGCTTCTACGACATTATACTCTGTCATAACCTTTTACTATTGGCTTCCCTGTTCAGTGTGTGTGGACTCGCTATAATATTCTTGAGATGTCCGTAGGCGATATTTAAAAGATAGCAAGATATCGTATTTCGTTTGAGACATTATTCTGTCTGAGTCTGGGCCTTCTAATATAAATATGACCTGTAGTATCTGGTGGTACACCTACTCAGCTTAACAGGTAAGAAGGTGATGGTGGTTTACGAAAAAAAAATGTTAAAAGTATAATCAACTAAATTCTGTAAGGGTAAATATTCCATGAAAATATATGTAAGTTATTTATCGAAAAGAAAAAAAGGGAAATTTACTACCCTTTTAGGAATTTGTCAGAAAATGCTTGGTTAGGCTTATTTATTGGCCGAAGGTACAATAAATTCACATAAAAGTAAACTTATTTTTGTGGTCATAAAGCTCGACCAATTGTGCTTAAATTTTAAACTTAAATTAAAAACAACATTTTGGGGTAGAATAAATCTAGTTCAATTTAATCCCAAGAAGACACAAGTTTGCGCGTTTTCCGCTAGAAAAACTCCCTTTGTCCTCACTCACTCCTCTCTTCGAAGACACTCTCCTTAAAGCTTCAGATAGCATCGGAATATTGTCATTCCGAAGGAAAAGCTAAGTTATCCTCTAAAAAGCTCGGTGTGCTCAGCAAGGCGAGACGGTACGTACTTCGGGCCACCGCTTGCAACTTTATTAAGCACAAAGTCGTCCCCACATGGAGTACTGTTCTCAACTCTGGGCGGGAGCTCCCCGGTACCAGATCCTTCCGCTTGACAGTATTTACCGAAGAGCGATTCGAATCGCTGACGACCAGTCACTTTCCAAGCGGCTCGATCTCTTGGCGTTGCGTATTTACCATGGAAAGTGTTGAGAGGAGTTGTTTGGACTAATACCCACAGCTAAGTTTCATCATCGGACGTTGAGGCCGAATAAGAAATTCCACCCGTATCACCTTGTCGTCCGTCGTTCCACAACTGAGCGTTTCTTAAGGTAGTTTATGTCGCGCACCACCACTATGTGGAACCAGCTGCCCACTGAAGTAAAGCAATTCGACATAGGGTCCTTCAAGAAAAGAGCGTACCAATTAAAAAAGTTCGCCAATGCACCTGCGAGCCTTCTTCTGGTCATGTGAGTGTCCATGGGCGGTGGTATCACTTAACATCAGGGGACCCTCCAGCCAGTTTATTTTTTTTGTTAGATTAAAAAAAACAATGAAAAACATTATTTAATACTAGGATAATATTATAATATATATATATAAAAACCTCAGTCCCCGAGGCTACTTAACTTTAGGTTCTGTTTTCATTTATTTTATTGCGGCCAGACTGCCAACCATTTTATCTAAGTACTGTATAATTTTTAACACAATTATTCCTAATGTATTGTATTCCTAGATAATTTCTCTCAGTGAAATTTCTCCCAAAAACTATGTGCCTGGCATTTATCATGGATTTGGATTTTTCTTATACAAAATGCGAACGAGGTCACGGGGAATTACTTCGGTAACCACAATTGGAAAGCAATATTTATTTTGGATATAGAAATGGACTTACCCAAAATGGAATTTACTCTAAAAATAGTTATTTATGAACACTATTAACCTAATTTAAGTCAGATTCTAATACATACTACTTTTATGAATAGTATAGCATACACTGTAAATTGTAGTGTAAATATATTTTTTATTATTATATACGAATACAAATATAAGCTTGGTGTACATTTAAAAGCGTTTTAAGTAGCGTAATAAATTCTATGTGGGTTGTGAAAAGTGGCAATATTTCCCACTATCTTAGTCGTAAATAATGAAATGCTTCAGGGACTTGCGTCTCAAAAGTTTTCCTTTGAGACGAAAGTATTTTCAAGTATTTTTATAGGTTGCACTCAGGCTTAAACCAATACTTGTGTGGTTTATGTTAAAAGTATCTATATAAGAGTATTGATTCCTTGGAGATCTCAATGTCTCAAATGATTTTCATGTGAAAAGCGACCCTTATCTATCGTAAATACCGTTATTTTTTTAAATTTAGATTGAGACATTGCTTTGTGACATTCGGGAGTCACGCTTAGTCTCGTCTCTGAATCTGAGAGGGCTGAAAGAGATACAGGAACAAGAAAAAATCGTCAATCATTACATTCCTTTAAAAAACTAGTTTTGCAAGTTTACCAAAGCATCTTCAATGGCAATTTCTTTCCCAATTTTCTGCAAATTAAGCGTTATATGCAATTATGAAGACTTTATATATTCGATGAAATTCTACCCTTTATTTTCGAAGACGGTACATTTCCGTTCAAATAACTGCCATTATTCAATTAATTGAAAATGTCGCGAATTTGTCTCCCATTTCAATGAGTCGAAAACGCCAAAACATTGAGCCCAATTAAAGGCCAATTTCCAGTTCGAATGCGACTCCAATTGAGCTGATTGCACGTTTGTGCATCCCATTTTAGCGATTAAATCGATTTGTATGGACATCGTTTTGTAGGCGGAAATAGATTTCTATCTGACTATTTTTGCCCCGTGATTCATTCCTTTGTCGCATGGTGTTATATGCTCATAAACTTGATTAATGGACTATTCAACCAGCCAGTAGTTTCCAAGTTAAGCGCCTTCAATCAAACATATAAGTCAGCTTACGCCCTCAGCTTCGTTCGCGTCGGTTTCGTGTACATTATATATTTTTACGACCGTCTTCAACAATAATGTAATATTTCTGTCAATATACAAAAATCGAAACCTGAAGTATTTCGGAACCAATTCGACTTAGGGACCAATTCTTAAAAGGCCGGCAACGCACTCGGACCGGACCCTCTAGCGTTGAGTGTATGGGCGGCGGTATCACATAACATCAGGTGAGCCTCGCCTGCCCGTTTGAACAGGGGGTATAAAAAAAACTTCCGACATCACACTATTGGTACACCGTACAAAAATCCGAATCGAATCCGTATCGAAGACTGTCTTATGTAATCGTATATATTAAAGAAAATCACCTCACAAACCTGGGAGGTGAGAATATAAAAACAAAGGAACGGAGCACCGATTCCACATGATTGGTCAGAAGCATCTCTAGTCCAACACGCGTACGCACGATCGTCTTTTATTTTACATTCTTATGGTATTTAAATTCTTAAAGATCATATAAAAAGCAACGTCGTGGGAATAATAACCTCACGTCCTATATCCGTTCCCATATGTTAAACATTCTAGATCGCGCCACGCTAACCCAGTCATTTCTAGCCCCACACGATTGACCTATTTAGTAACACGACATTTGCATAGTTATAAAGGGATCTCATAAAGAGGACGCAGAGTTCTTACGATAAAGAGAGCGTAACAGTGTTTTGATCGGCGGCCATTGAACCGTGATATTTGTCCCCAAAAAACAAGTAAATTAATTTGAGTTCATTGCTATTTTCGCGTCTCGGCTGCAAGTCGATAAACAATGTTCTTAAATGGTATTAGATAAACTTGATATTTATTAAAATAATAATTATTTTATAAATGTAATTGAATAAATAGGGATTACAGATGGGGTATTAGATTTGATTTAATGGTTTTAATTTTTTATGAAGAAATTCACAATTAATAAGACAGAATGTATATTAATAATTAATATAATTTTAATACCGTTATTTTGCTACACCCACTGTTTAGACTCAGTAGGCATTAATGCGTCTATTTGATTAATAATTTTAATAATATATGTAGTGGCTTCAGCGTACGACTCTCATCCCAGAGGTCGTAGGTTCGATCTCCGTGTATGCACCAATGGACTTTCTTACTATGTGCGCATTTTAACATTCGCTTGAATAGTGAAGAAAAACAGTGTGACGAAACCGGCTTGCCTTAGACTCAAAAAGTTGACTGCGTGAGTCAGGTACAGGAGGCTGATCACCTACTTGCCTATTAGATTGACCAATGATTATGAAACAGATACAGAAATCTAAGGCCCAGATCTAAAAAAGGTTGTAGTGCCACTGATTTATTATTTAAAATTTTCTCAGTCAATTTAATTTTGTCAGACTTAAACAATAATAATGCACGCCGTAACTGAGGCACGGGAGCAGTTATGATTATATTTTAAAAACTATTATTTTTTTTGTTATCAATCTCAATCTAATCAATCTAGCCAATGTTCCAATTGTTAAAAAAATCATTTGTTTTTTTCGTTTATAATAATAATAATAATAATTCGGTATTTTTCTTAATTCTTTACTCGGTAGTAGTTCTTACACAAGAGAACCCCTGTTGACAAGACTACAGTCCTTTGCGTGGTATATATTAATGGTAGGTAAAGAATTAAAATCGAACCTCTCATTATTGCCGTATCTTACACATGCGTAATGTTTTTGCAACGAACGAAATTTAAAACGCTTCAATCGCCGATATAAAACTGTTCCCAAAAGCACTTAACAATGCACATGGCCGCCATTCATGAGCTTTCAAGATAATGGATGCAGTTTTCAGAATTGCACCTGCGCAAAGAATAAATCACAACGAAAAGAAAATGAAATCAAAATTATATGTTCAACTCGACAAGTTCTATTGTTGATTCAAGAGCACGGCGAAAACGCTGCAGGCATTTTTTGTTTGGCCTGTTTCTTAATACGAGTAATTTAGTTGTATTTTATTTATGTACATGACATATTTAAAGAAACAATTTACGGGAACATACGTTTATTTACCATTTTAATACTAACAGTTTGATTACCTTCAAAGAGAAATGCTGAATGAGCTGGTTTACAACTCGATGGTTTTTTTTACAATAAAATTTAAATCTAATATATAAAATTCTCGTGTCACAGTTTTCGTTGCCATACTCCTCCAAAACGGCTCGACCGATTCTCATGAAATTTTGTGTGCATATTGGGTATGTCTGAGAATCGGACAACATCTATTTTTCATCCCCCTAAATGTTAAGGGTAGTCCACCCCTAAATATTATTTTTTATTTTTAGATATTTTTTTCTGTTTTTTTTTTATGATACAGCATTAAAAAATACATACAAACCCCTAACTTTCACCCCTCTACGATCAACCCTTATTTTTTTATTATAAATGATATATATGGCAAAACGACGTAACATGTAAAATTTTGATGATCAAATCAATTCAATCATAATTGTGTATTTCAATACGTAATTTCACAGCTGTTATAGACAAACACTTGATTGCTGTGTGTGTAAACACACAAAAGCTTACCGGGCTTCAATATTTTCAATATAAAAAGTGGTTACGTCACGTTTTTATTTTCTGCATTCAAAAGGTCTAAGGGTAAGGTCCAGTAACAACTTACCCGCAACCCGGGCTCACACAAAAATCTATTGGGTTTTTAACATATGGGTGTTCTTCGTTTCTAAATATCACCGTTAGAAGCTTCTCGCTTAAATGAAAATTTTTCCCTAGCGGCTTATATTCAGTAACTTTAAAAGTAAACAAACTGTCAACAAAGTATAATAAAAGTGTGGGTAGTAAATGCTTTGTTGGCACGTGAAAAGATTTTCGAATCACGTATAACAAGCCGTGAAATTCATAAGATGGATTACACTTGACGGGAAATTGGAGAGCAAATATTATTTCACATTGTTACCGCGAAGTATCGGTATGACTTACCGATACTTCGCGGTATTTGATTAGAGAATATCTAGTACTACCTGATCGGTTTTGGGCAGCTGTAAATTCTATCCAGGTCTTCTGCTTCCTTCGCTTTTGCAATGTCGGCTCATTCAGGTCTATTTACGCTATGTTTTTTATTTCCTTGAACCAGTCGAGAACATGTGTGCCCATGTGACGTGTATCCCTTCGGAGCGTATGGGCCTACCTATTTCCATTTTCGGTTGATATTAGTGAAAGAATAATATTAAGTAGTTTTAAAATATTCCAATGTTTCTTTGTATTTATTTTAATATTTTTTTTAAAGTGCACTTAGATTTTTGTTTGTACTATTATGCAATATTATTCTATATATTGTACTAATAATATTGCTTTCTTCGTATGTTGTCCCAGTAGGTAGAATTTTGAATTACGTAGATATTAACTAACATTATCAAATAATGAATTACATTGTAACTACGTCATTATATTATTTAAGCATGTTCTTATGTAATTTTTTAATGTTTTTTTCTTCAAGTTTAATCGATTTCTAAAGGCTCTAAGTAGCTCTTAAAAAGTTTTTGGTAAATGATTATATATAAAATTTATATTAAATAATGTGTATTCTAAGTAGCGTAAATTTATGATTTAAATACATCATAAGTAGTGGCGTAAATCGGCCCTATTATCACACTTGTATCAAGTTAGTACCGTGTTACTTTGGTTACCATTTCCTGGAAATAACAGCGTTACCAAGGTAACATTCACGTTTACGGGATGAGTTTAATATAAGGCACATATCAGAATTAATTAACATTTATTAAAAACATAACATAAACTTGTAAGAGTTGTTGCTGTTGTTACGATAGTTATAAAGTAGATAATTAATAATTTACTTTATAAATCCGAGAATTTTATACATAGGTAATTTCACATGAAAATGTTTAATGAAATCTCTTGGCCATATTTTACCTGTGACACGTTATTGTCTTTGATGATGAATGTCCTGGGTAAGTTTAAAGACTATTTTAAAGCAAGTAGATTGTCCTGTCCAATTCAAGTGTCTTGAATACCAACCTCTCACCCAAACCTTGATGACAAATATTTTAGTCGAAATTTTTGTTAACAGTTGTACGCTGACGACGATCAGGATGGAAACCTTGTAGATGACGTTAAAGAGTCAAAGGAGGATAAGCAGAGCTACGACTCGTTGGAGAAGTTACATGGCCTCACGGTGCTGGAAGATGACAACCAGCTTGCAGATGATGAAGACCTTTTTGATGGCGACGATGATGCTGAAAGCGGGGACTGGTATCCTGATTATGATAGGAGAAGGGAGAAAGTAAGTACATCTATTGCAGCTAGAATTAAAAAATCACCAGATAGATGGACTGGAATTGTAATGCTAGAAGCTTGTGTTCTGTGGAAGTATTTGGAATCTCTAATAGAATTAGTGTTATAAACTTCTATGCAATGAACTTTCAAAGCAAAATTGTATGTAAATTTCTTGTAAGGTTCATTTCAAAGTTCGTGCGTTAGTAAAGTTAGGTATAGTTAATTGATACATCTACAAATACTTTGCGTTGCGTAGAGACGTGGAGTCTCCTTGCATCTTCTACCGCATTTATCAGAGAGTTCCTCGTTTTTAAAATATTTCTCCGCTCTCCACTTTGTGGAACCAGCTGCCCACTAGATTATTTCCGAACCAATTAGACTTAGGATTGGTACGCTATAGTATTAAAAGGCCGGCAACGCTTGCGAGACTTCTGACAGCGTGAGTGTGTCAGGGAAGCCTCCTGCCCGTTTATATATTTAACGTTACATGACTCAGAAGCCAGCCACTTAGAACAAAGCCGCTTTAAGGAATTCGGTCGCAGTTACTCGTAAAGCATTAAAAATAAATATCATTTCACTCAACTAAATTTATATCACCCTGTTAACCTATATTGCTTCGCGTAATGTGCCACGTCATAGCACTCGTGATCCCGGCTTCCTTTCTCCTTGCGTTATTAATATTAGAATCTGCGGTCATGAATATGATAATATATTTGATATGAAGCAATTTCGGTTCCATAGTTTTTATCGTAAACATACGAGTAAAAATGATGTATGTAAATACGCAATATTGAAATAAAAAGTATTTATTTACGGGTGAACTGTATATATATATATATCTAAGGTCTAATCTATATCATTTAACACCAGGTCGGCCTTGTTCCCGTCTGCCCCGTATTATATAAAAAAAGTATTCAACACCTACTCGATGTAATTAATAAAAACGAAAAAAAATTCACCTTTGACAATGAATACGGTTTATATTGGTGATGAACTAAAGATCCATATTTGTTGCCATGGTTACAAGTACCGTATAATTTATTTCAGTTTTGATAAGGGCGCTTACACGTAATAACAAATTTAACTAAAATCAAAATATGGTTCTACAATATTGTTCCAATGCTAGTCCCCGTACTAGGGAGACCGTTACGGGTCGGACAAGACCTCTTTCGTGATCTGTGTTTTATTATTTATTTTAAGTACTTCATTTTATCTTTCAAGCCTAGCAAAGTAAAAGAATCCTTCCCGGGGAATCGATCACATCAAAAGGCTATCTTACTTTAAAGTTCATATTTAGTTGATCGTTTAAAAAATGTAGGTCGTGTATCAAAAAAGTGTTTATTCATTATTAAAGTAAACATTTTGGAAATTTATTTCTTAAAAATGATACCGTCCATATGTAGACCCTCGCGTTCGCGGCACTAATTTAATCGAACAATAAAATTAGACAGTAAGGGCCGATAATTTCTCGCGCTGGCATCGCAGCCCATACAGTCACTATAGGCGAAAGGGTATCTGATGCTTGCGTTTCGGATTCGTTGCACTTCAGTAGCGGCGATTCTGCTCCATTATGATGAAAATGAGCTTCATCCGAAAACAAGATGTTGGTAAACGTTGAAAAGCGCTCAGTTACCTGATTTACGAAGTCAAGCTTCTGACTGGCGTTTTGGGGCTTTAATTCTTGCACCGATTGAATTTTGTAGGGGTGCTTTAGGTCTTTGCGTAAAATGCGGTGTAATGATCTATGCACATTTAAAGCACTAGCGTAAATAAAGCATAAATGTAAAATTTCTTTTGAGACACCTGTTTCTTAACCGCCCCTTTCATTATTTCTGGCGTAAAACGTAGACTATTGTTTATTTATAATTACAATAAATTTTTAATGATTTTGATTATTATTTTCAGGTTGGTACAACAAACATGGTTCGGCTAACTCCAGATGACTTCATGGGCGTGGTGGAGGGAGTCGATGTTGGGGGAAACTTAAACGAGATCAAGAGGCTGCTGAACGAAAACCCGGAGATTAAAGATATAGGTAGGTTACATATATCTATTATTATTTATAACTAGTCTTTAAGGTAACGATGTAACATAATCCCTAAATACCGTCAGAGAGCAAAATAAAAGCTACACTTTGTAATTTAACACTTTGTTTATTCCTTTGTACAGGGTGCAAATATTTCCTTTGAAATCAATATAAGGATTTCACGAGTCAGACAACAATTATAGCGAGCTATACCTTAATATCATTTCGTTTTATTAAACGTCAATTTCAATATGGTAATAGTCGTTGGCGCCGAGATTTCTCTCTTTCGATAATCACAAAGCCCTATTTTTCATGTTAACAACATGACTGACTCTGACTGACTCTTAACTTGTTTTGTTATATCGGTACTTAGTTACAAAACAAAAGTGCAAATATATGTTAAACTCACTGAAAAAATATCTTATTTATAATATTAGTTTTCCACTGTTCATGAATTTAAAAAAAGCAAGCTAAACATCCTATTGTTCAACAGCTCTACCAACGTTGCCAAATTACACACGCAAGCCGACAACAGAAACGCCAGCCAGCGTGCGGGAGACCGTGACAGAAAAACAAAATGGACGCGAAAAGCGAAGCGTATTTCCCGACTCGGTAGCTGACGCGATATCAACAGTCACTGCACCTAAAGTAATTTCGAAGGACGAAGAAAGGTATAATTTTGATTTTTTGTCTCAGTGCAGATCTGTCTACTGACCGTGGTTTCGTTTATTCTTCTTTATATTTTCTTCTCTGGTTATAAGGAGGAAAGAGTTTTGTTTGTTTTTGTTATACTGACCGTTTAACCGTATAAATATTTATTGTTGTTTTCATAGATAAAATAAATAAATCAATGGCGCTACAACCTTTTTAGGTCTGGGCCTCAGATTTCTGTATTTTTTTCATGATCATTTGGTAATATAATAGGCAAGTAGGTGATTAGCCTTCAGTGCCAGACGCACGCCGTTGACTTTTTGGGTCTAAGGCAAGCCGGTTTCCTCACGATGTTTTCCTTCACCATTCGAGCGAATGTTAAATACATAGAAAGAAAATTCATTGCTGCACAGCCGGGGATCGAACCTACGACCTCAGGAATGAGAGTCCCACGCTGAAGCCACTAGACCAACACTGCTCTTTTCATAGATAATACATGAATGATGAAATACCGCTATGTTAATATTAGATTGTTTCGTGACAAATTGTCGAAATAGCAAATCCATTATTAAAAGGCATACTAATAACAGTTTATATAAATCGATTTCGTGCTTTAGAATATAATAATTGACTACTTTGTTTAGCTATGGCTAAGCTGACGGTGGATTCGTTGACGAGCACGAGGTTTGGTTCAGTACGCAATTGTTTCTGAAATCAAAACCGAAATATATCTGCCATACATTACTAGACTCAATCTAAATCAATGTACCATAAATAAAATATTATTGTTGTTTAAATTTAATATGCACAACTTGTTTCACTAGTGGTTGTGGAAATTCGAAACTCTTGTGTCGAGTTACAGTAAGTGGTTGACTCTTTACACATGTTTCATCTCAGTTTACAATCCTTTATCCAGTTTAAAGGAAGCCTTGGCAAGTCAACCAGTATTAAATATTACTTATTAATTTGGTATTTGGTTTACGCACTGGCTTTAGCATGCGACTCTTATCCCAGATATCATACGTTCGATCCCCGGCTGTGCACCAATGGACGTTCTGTCTATGTGCACAATTAACATTAGTCATTAGCTCATACGGTGAAGGAAAACATCGTGTGGAAACCGGTATGTCTAGACGGCGTGTGTTAAGTACAGGAAATTGATCAACTACTCGTCTAATAGAATAAACAAATTATCACGAAACAGATACTAAAGTCTGAGATTAAGAAGAGTTTTTCGCAAAAGCGCTTTCTTATTAGAGACTTTTTGTTATGTCAGAGTAACTAGTCACATACGTTTAATAGCCAATAAAAGCTTCTAAAGGCAACTGTTACATTCTTTCATACGTATCTTTAAAATTTAAATTCAATCATAATTGCCTAACTTTAGACCTTAATTGAAAAGGCAATTGAAAACCTGAACAAAGTCGCTCGGCAGTTGAAAATCTATACAAGGCTTCGTAAATCTATCAAAATGATAACACATTTTGTCCCAATAACAAATGTGATTTCTCGTAATACGAGCATGAATAATGTTATATGAGTGAAGGAATTTTCCAATATGATCTAAGGGCGAGGTTCCTTGTTATTCGAATATCGGAAACCGTACTCTTTGTGACTTTATTTGTATATTAAAATAATAGCCTTTTATTCAGATACTTTTACTTCCGTCTCATTCTTTTCAGGGATTTGAAAAATCCCGCCATTCCTGTCTGCACTGTGCCACTCTGTCATGTATTAATAATAATAATTTATTTATTACAAGAATATGGTACAAAAATGTGTAATCGTAAGTTCGCATATTCTGCCACACACAATGGCGCGCAAATTTGTCTTTAAAGGAATTTTAAATTTTACATCATTAGACAAATCAATTCGTCAATTCTTATATTATTTGTCGTACATATTATACTTTATTAAATTTATATCAATTACAGTTTCTCACGCAAATAATAATCATTTATTGAATAGTAAATTTTTTCCAAAAGTAATAAACCAAGTCGCTTTTTAAAGACTCTAGTCGGAAGATCTTTTAATTATTTTGGTAATTTATTGTAAACCTTAATTGCCATAAGAAAGGTGTTTTTCTTAACAGTTCCAGATTGACCACTTTGTTGTACCACTTCCTGTCCTTAATTTGGTCAATCCACATTCTAAATTGTCTTTCTCGATTTCATTTATTGTACCTTGGGCACCCATTAGCACTTTCTTGCTTCACTTATCTATTCTTCTTGCCATGTTTAATATTTGTATATAAGTTAACATATACAGTTGGATACAGAGCAGTGACAGGCGCCAATACTTTGTCACTACTAATACCGATTGAGATTCTAGGCTAATGTTAAGTTTTTGCATGGCGCCACATCAGCTACGGGTATTGAGAGAACTACAACGAAATTCGCATACAAAAACGTCGGATCCGTTACATAAAGTCGAAGTTACAGAGTACCTGCTTAGCGCAATTCTTTAGTTTCAGTTTTTGCGTCAAAATTTTTTTATATTATTTAATTACGAATAAAGATATTAGTTTTCCACTGATCATGAAAATGTCCAAAAAAGCAAGCGTAAAGCTTCCTTTTATATCATATCCTATTTTTTCAACAGCTGTACCAACGTTGCCAAATAAAGCACGTAACAAGCCGCCGTCATTATGAGACGGTATAGATAAACAGTAAACACGTATATATAATACTAGTGGACCCCACAGACGTTGTCCTGCATGATATTTAAAGCGATTAGGATATTAAGCAAAGTATGAAAGTACCGACTGCAGTGCCATCTGCCGGGCTGTTTTGTGAATCTAAACCATCCACGGCTCCACCCAAACGTATACAAAAAAAATCATTCAAATCGGTCCAGCCGTTTAAGAGGAGTTCAGTGACATACACACTCAGAAGAATTATATATATATAAAGATGTATAGTAAACGGGAATGATCATTACCTGTGTGTCAGACACAGAGGGAGGATATGTAAAGGGAATTTTTAAGTAGTTTCCAGTATTCCAGTAAACCTTTTTGATATTTAAGTAGAAAAGAAGGTATTTTATCCTCTTTACTAATATGTAAGAAACGCCAATACTCTGGTAATATTGTTTACATATATGTAACATATTTCAACATATTATTTTGATCCCTGAATACATTACAGAGAAAATTTATTCCGTTGAGCTAGAATTCAATATCAGAATTCCTGGAGGTGCGATTCATAGACACGTAGCGGTCGGTAGAAGCCTACATTCTGAAAATCGATTAAGGATCGCCCATCCCAGTTCTATTAACTGAAAGGAATAAATACTCTAACAAATCTAATAAGATTATTATTATTGGTATTACGGTATATTATTATTTTGCATCGATCTAGCTATCATAATGTACATCAGAACGTACGCAAATGCTTTTCTTCAAGTTTTCAGTAATTTAGATGTTTTATTTCCGGAAAAAATACAATAATCTACACTTTTACGATATAAATATTTGAATTCTTGAGAATTACGTTGGTAATTTGTTTTCTTATCTATTTTTGCGTATTTATAATTTTAATCTTTTCTTTCTATAAATATTCTCGAAGAAATTTTTTTTTGACATTATCTCTATTCTCTAACAGCGTGTCTTAAAAATAAGGGTATCTATTTTTGAGTGAGCTCATCCCTGAGCTCGCAGGTTCGAACCCCGGCTATGCACCAATGGACTTTCTTTCTATGTGCGCATTTAACATTCGCTCGTGAAGGAAAACATCGTGAGGAAACCGGCTTGCCCTAGACTCAAAAAGTCGACGGCTTGCGTCAAGCACAGAAGGCTGATCACATACTTGCCTATTAGATTGACAAATTATTATGAAACAGATACAGAAATCTTATTCCGAGACCTAAAAAGCCGGAGCGCCATTGATTTGTTTTTATCTATTTTTAATTATTATCTCCATGACGGTTAAGATTATAAATAATTTAATTAACATAAAATTTCCAAGTGACCTCAAATGTCTGCGTTTGTTCTATTAATATTATAAAAGCAAAAGTCATGGTCATGAGATAAAATCGGAGCGGGGGTACTAAATTGTAAAATATTAAAATTATATTTCAGACGAAAGACAAAGAAATTCACCCCACCACCTGATACAATGAAGATTCCCGTACACACCGTTTCAAGAACTGCAAGAAATAGTGACGGAGAGGTAAGATTAACAGAAAAAGCTTTATAGTACTTTAAATAAAATGGTCGGTTGATCGGTCTCCCTAAAGGCCGGCAACGTACACGCGAACCCTCTGGCAATGTGAGTGTCCATGAGTGACGGTAATACATAACATTAGAAGAGCCTCCTGTCCGTTTGCCCCTGTTATATACAAAATCTCTTCATAAGAGTTGATCGGATTAATACCTTCCGCTGAATTTTGTCATTCGACGTCGAAATACGAATTCCCAACCGTTGCCGTCGTTTCTAAATTGAGTGCTTTTTTGTCATGCACATGTGTATGATTATGGTTAACCTGTGAAAGAACTCCTGGCTTAATATGATTCGTGGTCCTTCAAGAAATGACTCACTTCCGGCAGCCTCCTGCAGAGTATCCACTGCCCTATCACTTATCAGCCTCCTGAGTGATTGTCCCCTTTTCTATATAAATATCTTATTTGACTTCAAGAATAACTTTAAAAAACTGTCTAAATATATTTTTGTAAACTTACAGGGAAGACCGTTCATCGCAGCTCACTTTCACGGAAACACATCCCACCTAAGCACAGAAATACACGAGCATTTCAAAGGTATATTGAATTTTCAGTTCGGGGAAAATTGGGAAAAGTTCTCTCTCGAAAATATCGCGATATCTATCTGCCAATACGAGCAAAAAAGCGGCTGTCCCATCATTTTGTCGAAACAGTTCAGGTCATTTTCAAACCCCAATAACTTCGTAATGAATAAAACTAGAAGCCTGGATTTGAATTCAGTAGCCAAGTAGCCATTTTATAAACATTGTTTATTTCAAAAACCAGTAGTTTGACATAAAAACTCAAATTTAGAATACAATTCACTGTTTAATGGATAAATTATGAAAACCCCTTAATTTTTGCATATTAAACCTAAATATTTTGTAATTTCGGTCCAGTTTTATAGATACTCCAACTGAATAATTATTCCTGCACAAAAATATATAGGATTACAAAGTTACATTTGCAGTGTATGAATAAGTGTAAAATGATGATTATAAGCAGATTTTTTTACGAAGTAGAAGTTACCAAGCAAGGAAAAAATTGGTAGTACCTACAAACAATAAACATTCCAATATCTGCGATGATATGTAGTTTGCCTAAATTATGGAAATGTCCACAGATCAATTATCAATATTTTGACACTTAAAAAAGGCGTGTAGTGGATTAAATAATTTCTTAGTTCACTTGGTCACTGCTATTTGTTTATTCAACGTGTTTATTCTTGGATACAAAAAGTATAAAAAGCATTTTTGAAACAGAGCTAGCTCATTTATTAACAGAAACTTATATCAAATCTATTTATTTACTACACTCGAAGAACTAACTCTTAAATGATATGTGTTTTGTTTATATGTACCGTACTTCTCAATAGGACATCCGTTCATATGAATAGTATAAGTATTTAAATAAAGTTTTTTTTTGTATTTATTCATAATTCTATATATAGGTAACGGTTTAGTCCGCGTGTCGCATGGCGCTCCCCACGATGTATGGTACCCAGCACCCTGGACTATCGCATCACCACATCCCCGACCCACACTTACTAGAACTGGCCATATTCATGTGCATCACACTGGAGTCTACCTTGTTTATGTACAGGTGAGTCACGATTAATTTAATTAAACATATTTTTAACTTGATAACATCATATAAATCGATGAACGCCGGCTGCACGCACGAAAAAACATCATTGTCATGTTCCACCTGATCCGAGCGTGCAAGCGAGAGCGCAGAACAAGCGATAGAGAAGCACGATTGGCTTGTGACGCATTTATCTCACTTCCACTTCATCAGCCGGTGCATCCGAGTAAAAGAGAGACTATAATTTAAGATTATAAGTAAAAAAAATGTTTGAATTAACGAGTGCAAAAATATGTTAATTTATCGAAAAAATTGCAATTTTCATTTAGTAATTCTTTGTTTTATACAAATAATAATTTAATAATAATAATCCAATTCAATTCATAAAAGTATGCAGTTTTTCATCAATGTGACGAATGTTATGACGTTATCATGTAAAATTATCGTCCGTAAACCGACTTACAGGCGACCAAATTTTTTTATTTATAAGAATCTAATCATGTATAAACAATATCATATGCATTATAAGTTCGTTAACTGGAAATAATGTATTTTCAATTTATCTTATTTAGTTCAACATAACTTTCTGGTATAATAGTAATAATAAAACACAAAAGGTTATAATTAAAAAGGCCGGCAACGCACATGCGCGCATTCTGGCATTGAGATTTGAGAGTGTCTATGGGTGTCAGTATCACTTGCTCCATGTTCTATAAAAAAAACAATGAAAAGTATATTGCTATAAATCTTGTCTCGGAATCTAGTTAGTAATTTTGTGAGTTAGTCTAAGCAAGTAAATGAGGGAAAATTACAAAAATAAATGATGCATTCGTAATTACACACATCGTTAGTGATCAAAATGTTTGTGGCAGAAGTATGGTGAACAGTTCCTTTAACTTAATGGAAGGATCCTCGACCAGTATAACCAATACCTAGCCAGCCCGAAGACCGCAGTGGCTAAGGTCGAAATTCTGTAACGGTCGGAATATCTTCGTAACGCGTAAGACTATGACGTCATCACAGTGATCGTAACCGTAAAATTGTAGATGTCAAAGTTCCAAAATTTTTACAGCAATGTGTAGATTAGTTTTGTTTTCAAATCATTCCAAAATTAAATACTTTCCTTATATCATTATTACTTCCTTTCAGATCTATTATCTCGACAGTCACGACATAATATCCTGGGTTCTACACCGCACCAACCCCTACACTGAGGGTCGAGACACACTATTACAGTGCGCACAGACGTCACACTCTGTTGAACCGATGGACAGACCGAACTCTTGCTTCTCAGCGTCTGCTCTCTTCCTGAGAGCTGGTGACAAGCTGGCAGTAAGAAACACCGGCGGAGATAGACACTCATTAATGCAGCCGGAAAAGAGTTTCATAGGTCTCGTCAAATTGGCTGATGCTGACGAGCCAATTGACGAATTCTAAGCTTTGTATTCTGTTAATTAATCTGACACCAATTGGCCACGTTGAATGTGTTACATGTTATAATCTGTGATTAAAAGTATATAACCTGACGTATGTCAGAAAACTCTAACCGAATAGAAAGCTATTAAAATATTAGCTATATTGCTTGTTCGTGACAATGAAATATGCATTAAGATTATATTTTAATACACGCCATAATTGGTTTGCACCTTGTTCACACTAAAAACAGGAAAATAGATCCCGGGGGAGAGAAGTAAAAACGACGTCGGCGCGATTCTTTTGTTTGTGATTGGACTAATAACGCTGTTTCTCTCTCACCGTAGTCTATTACGAATTTAAATAAATGTATATACATATGTGACTCTGTCACAGTACTTTCAAAGTATTTGTTAATTTATAGTCAATGCGTGCCATTACTAAGAGCAAAATAATATTAATTTTTGTACGTTTGATTAACTTCTGAATATTGGTATGACTTCTTTGAAAGTTCTAATGATATTATGATTTGTTGTGCCCAACAACGCCTATACTGGGAGGTTTCATAAATAATAACGATAGATCTGTTATGCCATTGATAATATAAGTACATATTGTAGACTTTTTTATTGTAATTTATTGCTTTATTGTATGAATATTAAAAGGAAATACAATGTCATTTTATAAAGTTATTGAATAATAAATAATTATTTTTAAGTTTTCTTTTATTTCGTCGAAAATTCGCAATTTTAAATCACTAGAAAATGTTTTACAGTTGATTTGATTGATTGATCTAGTAAAGTAATCTGATTGGTTAAACATAATTTGACAGGATGAGAATTTTAATTAAACAGTGTAATTAGACTAATTAACTTTTATGAACTTTGTGAATGAATGAACTCCTGTAAATCCCAGGTCCCAGTGTCAAATGAACATTTTATTTAAAAATCGGATTCCTTAAAACAGAAAAAGGTTGTAAATGTCCGTTGACGGGACCAATTCAATTCTATCCTAACCAAATGCGTTCAACGTACGCACGTTTTTCAATGTGTAAACCTATACGTTACTATAGATTCATACAAAAAGTAACTACCTTTAATTTATATAAGTAATCCACGAGTAGAACAATAAATAAAATACAAAGTAACCCGTTATAAGCTTTGCATGAAAACGTATCAGTTTCAGGCTTCGAAACTTAATTACCTAACGCACTCGATATCCCGATCGAAATGAAGCTCAAGTCAATTACAGCTGGATTGAACGTCTGGTTTGTGAACCCTTGATACAGTTTCTATGTTCCCTTTAAAACTTTATTAAATTGGATTTTGCCCCAAATCCTTTAATTAAAATAGAGCCAGCAGTGCTCATTCCAATTAAATAGTTTTTGTCTACCGGTGAGCTTTTGTTCTATAGAGAAAATAGCTTAGCGACTAAAATTGGTAGGGTAAGGCGAATTTTTAAAAAGCTTTCAGGCCTAGATCGCTTTAAAAAAAAGTAGTACATCGCTTTTGTAATCCAAAGCTTTTCGTAAAGCTAGTTATTTATTTATTCATAAAACAAACTGAAATCCAATCCATTCAATTAGTACAATACTAAAAAGTCGAATTAACTTCAAATTATTAATTTATTATTATATTTGTAACATTAGCAAAAGTTAATTTAATAAAGCTAAATAAAATTGTTGGGAAATTGCAAATAACCACCGCAATTAAAAAAGCACTCTGATTGAACGGAATAATTCCTTCCCTGACATGGAGGCTCGGGCGGACATCTTCAATTAACGTTAGAAGAAAACCTTACAAGTCCCTTGAACTCTGTTCACAGAACTTTTCTGAATAATAAAGAAAACCTCGACAAAATTAATTAATTAAACTTTAGTCTCCATAATGAGATGAAAGGTACTTCATTTCCATCTCATTTATCATAAAAATCAATTCTTATAACGCAGATTAACGGATATTTAACGATTACATCCACTTATAAGTAAAGTAAGTGATAGTGCGACTAATGCAACTGAGAGCAACAAAGCAAGACTAATAAATAAAAAGAGGTACTCTGTATACAGCCTAACTTGCCAGTCGCACTATCGATCGAGTTATATAAACCCCCGCCCGCCTTCAGCCATACCAGTGTTCCGTAGGTGGCTGAAAACCCAACGAACTCTATTTTATTGCGCACTCATCGCGCAGGCTTTACTCTGTCTCCCAGTTATCTTCCACACTTCCACCGGCTCGAACGCCTGTTATTGCTCCTGACTTTGTTGTGGCAGTGATAAATGGTTTAAGGTAAGACTGATGTTAGAGTTCGCTTTGATAGATTAAGAAATGGGACACCGACTGGGCGTTGTGTACTAAAATGGAAGAGCTAATTCACATTATTTCTCTTTCACGGGATATGACCTATAATATTGAAGTTTGCGGATCTTACGAATTTGCGAAATTTAGGGCATGTTTTCTCTGTTTATGTAAACAGCTGCTATTTTGTTAACAGGTGGAATAAGCATCATATTATCATACTGCTTTGTTTAGAACTTGAGTACGGTATGTGATAATATAAAATAAAAATGTTAAGGATATAATGACATAGTATTGTTACAGTTTATTCCCTGTAACTGTTAAAGATCGTTATGACTGGTCGGATTTAAATTCGTGTATGCGGTAATTTTACTTATCTCGACTATGTATTTGCGTGTTTTTCCCAGAAGAATGTAAGTGCGTGCTCCTATTTCACCATGCCTCCTGCTGATAGAGGACAAATCTTTGTTTTTTTTTAATGAAATAGTTGCAGCTCCTTACAAACATTTTGTAAAAACTTGGCGATTAAAAAGAGTGGCGGAGAGTTTATTGCTAGTTCTTCTCGTCCGTTCTACGCCCTTGATTTGAGAACTAGCACTAAGCAGTTAATGTTAAAATATAATCATTTAATATGTATTTCTTTATTGACGTTCATATACAAATTATATAAATATTGTATTACTCAAATATCTAACATAATTTTATATATTCCATGACAATTTTCCCTTCCTTTTAAATCCAGATACAAATTATATTAATTATAAGATCAATTCAACTGAAGTATTTTTGATTAGAAATTTTAAAATATAAATGAACACTGTCATTTCTCTTCCGGCAGCGATTTCATGAAAAATATGAGAAAATTAAATGTTATAAATACAAACATTAATATATGCTAATCCCCTAATTTCATAGATTATTAAGTATGTTGTCAAAAACTGAGTCATGAATAATAAGAGTGTAATCTCAGAGGAATATTATAAAGTGATCTTGTTTTCGATAAGTCGTTTCTGCGTAATAGGAGGCGGAGAGGCGTGATTAGAGAGCTTTTAGTAATTCGATTTTCTACATGAAACGTTCTGGGGAATTACAGCAAAACCCTTCTTGATTTTAGACAAAAATATCGTTTATTATTACGATATATAAGTATGAATATTACAATTATAATCTATTATTTGTGGATGATATTTTTCCTGTATCTTAAAAGATTTATTATTGAAAGTATTAAGTAACATAGCACCTATAATACAAAGTTGCATGTTATCGTTAGATTGATTTGTATTTTGGAATATTATATATATAACCTTCGTGATTTCCTGGAACCGTCTAATCTTTAACTTCAGCTTTTTTTGAAAAGCAAATGATAACCTCAACATAATCTAAAAAAGTATATGAAGCCTATTTTAATATATTAAAATTGTATGATGAAACAAATCTTCTAACGGTTAGACAACTATCTAAACTAATATGGTTTTTTTTTTGAAAATTAACACCGACCATACATGCAACGCAAACCAACATATAATATTCCCAAAAACGTATCTACTTCACCGAACGCTTTTGTTTTGAGAGGTCTTTTCATCTTTAAGCTATCGATTCCAAAACTTTATACATTCACTAAGTCTTTAGCAACATATTCGAAACCTTTCCTATTCTGAAACCGAAAGTTTTCTTGTTGTGCATCAGAAGTTTAATTATAAAATTGTAATGTAGAAATTATAACATCAAGGTTTGGATTTTCATTAATATGTCAAATGTATGGGACTACACAAAGATGGGTATGGGGGGCTTGCGAACTTACTCTTACATTTTTATTTATTATGAGAAATATTTTTTTTTTTCATAAAAAATAAGATAGTCTTCAGATTTAGAAAAGAACTTTGTTCTTTTTTAGGTCAACCGCAATGATTATATTCTGGCTATGGGCTTTAATAGCCTGCCTTGTCAGCAATTCGGCGGCCGAGAGGGGTGGTTCCCTCAGGGGGGCGCTTGAAGCATTACAAAGGAGACAACGCGGCCGTCTTCAAACTTCGGGACACATCGTTCCACAGGACTATGATACTTTATACGAGTTTGTCCCTCCTCAAGCATATGCAGGTATACAGAGTATTCTTAAAACTGAAATAATTTCTTTTAAATGTACGTGATTAAATATGATTTATTTTTATTTTTTTATTAAATATAAGCCTATTTTAATGAATGAACATTTATTATTTTCTCAGAACCCGACTATGCGATTGATGTTGAAGATGTTGAGGAAGAACCAAAGTACATTGTAAAATTACTTGATAATGAAACTCCTTCTGATGCATATGAATATAAGATCATCAAAAAGAAAAATTCGGTTACCCGTGGTGATAATAAAAGACAATCTGCATTTCGGGAAAGAAGTCAACACTCCGACAACGATAGACTTCGGGACCTTTTCATGGAAAGAAATGAGGCTCAGGATAAGGAAGAAATTTCACAAGAAAGACCTGAAAACGACGCTGATTATGCTATGCTATTAGGACAGTTATGGAGTAAATATAAAACCAATAAAGCAAATTCCAACCGAGTAGAAAATGCTCCCCAAGGTGTAATTAAATTGTATAAAGAGAAGATTGTTAAAAAAAGTTATCCAAATAATTGGGGGCCCATAGCTTTCAAAAGGAAACGAAGTTCAGGCTACGAACCGGAGCGTCCATCTGTTGACATAGACGAAAGTAAAATTTTAGAAAACCAAGACCAAGAAAATTCTAACTACAACGCGTACGATGTATCTGATGATGACAAAGACGATGATATGCGAGAAGAATATGCCATTGCTTTTCAGCCGTTAGATGATGACAGCCTTTCTGATCTGGCAGATGAGGATCAGTTTGCCTATGAAAATATTGAGAAAAGATTTCCTGTGTCTAAACGAAGTGGTGGAACTGGAAGCAATAATATGCAAAAGAAAAGATTTGCCCTAAACAACCACGATAATGCAAAAACTTTTAGAGGTAGTTCGGGTACTGATCCAAAAATAATCGAAGATTTATCAAAAATATTTGATAATTCGGAATATGAAATAATAAGAAACCCAGTCAAAAGAAGCAGTGACAATGTCGAAACCCCTCATGAAATAAAACCTCCCAGTGTGAATAGTCATGATAAAAATGATAGTCGCATTAACTCCAGCTCATCGTCACCAGACTCCACAAATCATGAGCATCATGGTCATCCCCCAGGAGTAACTGGCAAAGAGTTAGAACATGATGAACATTCTCACGATCACGATCATGATCACCACAACCATGACATGCCAGAGTCTGTAAAACCCAAAATTATACAAAAAAAGTCTGTAGACTGGTCCGATTACTTTGGAATTGACAAGAGATTTAAAAAGTCACCGGGCTTAAGTGATGAACGGCTTAAAAAGCTTTATTTTGATACATTTAACAAAGAGGTAGTTTATCCTTTAAACAATGTGAGGAGAACAAGTTACATGAAGCGGAACTTTGTTGCACCGAAGTTTAGAGAGAATGTACCGAATACTAATATGAAACCACGTGAAGAAAAAAGGAATGCAGGTATTAATACTGACACAAAGTTAGAAAATTTTGACAAAAAATTGAAGAACATGGAAGGAATAATTGTAGATGAAGCATTGCAGTATTCTAATAATGGAGAACAATTAGATTCAAAGGAAGAACAAGAAATGAAAGAAAAATTATTGTCACGTCTAGCTGCTGCCTATAGTTTGGAAAAAATGCGTAAGGCATTAAAAGAATTCAAGCAGAGCCTACAAATGCAAAAGGTGACACCAAGCTCTCAGTCTACTTCGGATGGTGAATCTAAGGATAAGAGAGTTGCTGTTAAAAAAGAAAAAGTAATAATAGGGAACGATATTCCATCTGTTCATGAACAAAAAAGTGAAATAGATGAAGATTTTGAAGATGAACAAGGCGCAGGACACTACATAAATGGAAAACTAGAAGAGCAATTATCCGAGGGATACATGGGCGGGAGTGGCCGACATCGTTCTCCTGCCATTTCTACAGGTAGTTTAACTTAATAAAAATAAAATAATGTCACATTATTAAACCTAATACTTAATCTTTTCCATCAGTAAGCTCTGCCGGCGCGTGTCCTGTACTTGATAAGATCATTAAAAGGTGCAGGGGTGTAGACTTACTAGCGGGAGATCGTGGCCAGCTGTTCCTACCTCTGTGTAGTTTACATCAAATATGCTACCTTTGTGTAAGTATATAGAAAATATGAAAAATTCTTTGGCTTTTTGCAACATAATATATTTTATAACTGTGTTTCACAGGGAGAAGCCCCACCTACGACATGCGATTTAGTTTTTCTCTCAGAAGCCGATTCCACCTGTGAAGGCGATATGAGCTGCCAACGTGCCGCACGATCTGCTTTGATGGCTTTGAGAGAGCTACATGACAACCTGGCTGATGAGTTGGATGGTGAATGCGAGGCTAGCCCCTGCCTCCCTGCAACCCTGAAGCTGAATCTAGGCTGGCAGAGAGCCCTGCAACGATAAATAACGGTTTTACGGCTCGCATTGTGCGGTGATGTTATCTTATCCAAAACGGAGTTCTGAAACTGAAACGGATCGAATTGTTCGTTTGAAATGATTGTATTTCATTGTACAAGATTTGTTACTATTTTGTAATACTTTTTTCTAAATTCTACTATCATACAGTCGCTGCATTTGGTCAAGCATTTAATTAAGTATTTAGGTATATTTTTCTACCATTTTTTCGTACGTACCTAGCCAGCCATAGGTGCGTTCGAGCATTTACTATTATGTGTTGTAAGGTGCAACTTTACTCTTTATGTACTTAAAAGAACTATTCTTTGATATATTCAGTAACTATGCTTTTCATATTATGTTGTATATAATTGTGATGAAGATTATAATATTTCCTATTCTGAACCTCATGTTGTCGGTATATTTAAAGAATGATGAAGAAATATGGATATAATATATGTATTGTCTGGGAGTTTATCGTTGTTGAATGTTATTTGCATGTTAAATATTATTTGTGTTGTGTCGGCGTTATTATGAATGGATCCTAAGTACTGTAAACACTAAATGTATTTATTTGTAATTTTATTGATAAACACAAATTATTCTTAAACGTTAAATGAATGTAGAATAATTTTAAATCACATATTATTAAACTGCATATAAAAATATATTTGTTGATTTGAACTATATATAGGTGTATGTTAAATATAGTAAATGAAACAAGAAAAAAAATAAAAGCGCGTAAAATTTTTTTTTTCACTAAATCTAAAAGTTAAAATGTGAAATGCGATTTCGCACAGCACGAGTGCACCACTCTAGACTTTACTAGACAATAATTCTTTCTTTGCTTTCACGAGGTCCACGCCTAAGAGGAGAAACGCTAGGAATCCAGGCTTCATGTCTTCCGTATTTGGCATCGCGTTTAGATCCTATTTATACAAGGCATGTATATCAAAATTCTACACCCATTTATATATATACATATAGTAAAGTAGAACCTTAAACCTTTGATTGGAATTATTACTTGTAACTGCGACGCACGTGAGTGCAAAGCAGATAATTTTAACTCAATGTTATCTCTATTAATCATGGTAACAATAAATGGTTTCGAAAATAATAAGGTCTATTTGAAAAACCCATTATCCCAGAAGCTAAAGTTCATGGAATGTACAGATACCGGCAAACTTCTTGAGCATTAAACAAGGGAGTGGGAGAAAGTTTGCACATCATACACATAAACGTCAACTGATTTACCAATCACGCGATCGACACGTCACTCTCCCACCGCCGCGCACCACCGCCCGCCGCCCCCCTCCCTGTGATACCTAAAAATCGCTTCTAAGCAGGCAAGATCTAGACATTTGTTCAAGATGTTTGCTGGTATCTGTACTGGGACGTAGAATTTTTGTATGGGTATTGGTTAATGGACAATAATTCGTAAAGTAAACTATTTTTTTACTTATAGGCTACCTACCTACAAGCATTGAAAATATGTTTAGGACTGTCTGATGAAGTGTTCGGTTTTAATAAGGACGAAATAATCTTACCTATTCAACACGTTTTTTTAAGGTAGAATAGGTACTCATTTAAAATATGTTCTCTAGTAAATTTTTAGTTTCCTTTCCGCATACTAGCATCTAACATTAATCAACATTATCCAAATTTGTTAACTTTATACAAAATGCATGTTTTCGATACAAGTGATTATCAAATGTATGCCTTTGAAATGATTCGAACGTGTTCGATTGAAGATATCACTTATCTATTGATAACGTTCCAAACACGTCGATAACTCAGTGCAGCGTCGAATTAACAACAAAGAACATACTAATTAAAATACTTTTTAGTTTTATTGTGAATGCTATGGCTAGTGATATAACGAGGGGAAGAGACAATCCATCTGTGACGCAAGGTAAAAAGACTGTTTTTATTGAATGAATAATTATTTTAAATAAAATTACTTTTTCATAGAGATCTTCTAGAATTCACGATAGGTAATGTATCTAATTAACTGTCAAAGGTTGATACAGTGCCACATACTTTTCTTGGCCGGAAAGAGCATTGTTGCCATGGATATTAGTATTGCCAGTAAATAAAAATTAACCATTAACTTCAATTATTTGAAGTCATCCAGGCTAACTTAATAATTTATTGAAATGTCTTAATAAAACTATATATACTAGTATCTAGAAAATACAGTTTTAGGCTTAAATGAATGTAACACAAACTTAGGAACAACTGATATGATAGGTTATGTTAACTTAATATTTATAATATCTTTTAAGATACCTAGCTATCAGAACCATTCGATTATTAAAACTTGGCCATTGTAATGAATAATGCAAGGAATAAAACGAAATACATTTTAGATGGATTTTTATGAGATGTTGGTAGACAGACTGACAATGTCAGTCTGACATTTCAAAATGGCGACTATTATAAACTGTACCTTGTCAATGTCCTGGTCGCTCTCATGTCATTTATCGCAAACGTGAAAGGGACAAAACAATCTATAACAAATGTAAATCTGTATTTCAGATGACGGATCTTATTTGAGAACTTCTTCAGAACGAATAATAAGCAATCAACCACAGTCAAATAGTAATAGGAACAGTAAGTTTGAACAAAATAGTAAATTAACTCATTTTATGTTATATAATTATAAATAGTCAGTGCGAATCAATACATAATTGTCGCAGAAATTAAGACCTTATTTTTCGAATTGTCAAATGCAATTCGATTGAAACACAAACGCTTTAAAGCAAGTAGATCAGCCGTTTATGACTAACTCGTACCAATTAACCTACCAACTATTTAATACATCAACCCAAGAAGCCACGGTTATATATCTACCGCCACAAGCGTAGATAAAGGAAACAATAAAAGAATGATACCGCTCTAGAAAACACATATATACGAGTATACTACTGCAGTATGTAATAGTAATAAATGGATATATATTTGTTAATCAAAATGTCGACAATTCTGTCGAAACGGGTTTATTTTGCTACGTATCATTATTCTTTATTACATTTAATGAAACTCTAAACTGTATTGATTTTTCCTTTTAAAACTGGGGTTGGTGAGAATATAAAGTGTAAGACAAAAGACGTGCGCAAGGTATGATTAGAACTTGTATTGAACAATCACAATTAAACGAAACGCGCCGTCGTTCTTCATTTTACATTCTTCCTATAGATTTCTTTTACGTATTATTATTCAACTTTATTATCACATAAAACCTATCTAGGTCATCTTCGTGCACAGCTATCGGTGTCTACAGAAGCATGGAACACCCGCAACGTGTCTCCATTGAGACCCATGCATGGTCTGGACTTTCTCACAGGAGTCTCAACATTACACATACAGCAGACAGTTGATATATCTCACTGTAAGTATTCTAATTCCCAACACCGTTTATATTCTAAGGGCGGATCTAACGCGTCTCATGGGGTTCATGAGCTGGGGCCTGGGCAGTCTTACTTTAAGACAAACAAAAGAGCTGTGACTGAATTTTGTCACATCGTAAAATGACTGCTTTACGACTGATTTGAGCGCGACCACCGCTGTGAAAACCGCTGTGAGAGTTCGAAAAGTGAGTTACAGAATCGCAAGGCTGATCATAGAGACTTAGTAATTATCTACGCGTACTTGTATGGTATAATTTATTTCCTTTTTAATATTATTTATATACATAGTAATGTAATAGAAAACAAACAACAATTAAATCAGGAACAAAAAAAGAAATAAACCCTAAAACTTAAAACAAATTATGAATTTTTGTGAATTCAGAGGGAGAGTGTACATGTACAATGAAATAGGTCACTCTCACATGCAAAAGTATTGAGGATAATAAAATGGAGCAAACACACACATATACACTTCTGGGTACAGAAGGATGCTTTTTTCATATAATTTTCGTCTTATAATAACTATAACCAAAGCTAGATAATAAAATGCTAGGAAAACAACATTTGTTATATTTAACAATTAGGTCCCTGTAGCATAATGCCGTAATTCCTTAATGTATTGCGATACTGATACTGTGTGTAAGAAAATTATTTACAATTTTTTTTAATATTGTTTCATATTTAAAATGAATAAGTAGACAACAGACCAGTAAAAAAGGTTTTTCAAAACTTTGTCAAAACTTTTGAAAGGAAAAAACACATAAACCTGTTTAATGTGGTCATTTTCTTAAATGATAAAAACCTTCAAATGTTACTTAAATCAGTTATTAGTGTCTTAGTTTACTGATTGTGTAAATGTATTCTAGAAACTCACACATTAATAAAATTACTGTTACAAAAACCTAAGCACACCCATACAAGGTTATAGTATAACTCGAGTTTTAAATCGACGTAAAATAAAGTGATCAGTTTAAAAATATCTTTTAACTATAAAAGCTACCTTGAAAAGCTCTACCTACACGTTTACAAATAGCCACGTTATATTTTGTATGAATGGAGCGTAGGTAGAAGTCTCATTGTGCTTGAAAAGCTCGCAATATTTTGATTAATTAACTACAAAATAGAACATAAAATCTCTTTGAGTAAAATTCTCCGGAGAGATAATTTATATTAGCAAATAAAACTCCTTTCATTTCAAGTTTATTAGCCGTTAGAATTTTATTAGAATTATTATGAAATAAACCGTTATTGTAAGTAAAGAATATCACTGAATGGTCCTATTAACATATTGTGTCGGGTTTACAACGAAATTGTAATGAAAAATGACTCAGTGGCCATTTTCGGCAACTCCATAGAGTCCTCCGACCGAGTCAGTCACCGTCTAAGACCGAGTTTTTTTAGCAACCTTGCATTGTTAATTATTATTATGTTATTATATTCGCCGCAATAATGCTGGCTAATCGATTGCGAGGAAGATGCATGAATCTGCCTAGCGCTGCGCCTGATTCTCCGACTATCATGTCATTTTCACACGTGTACCTATATATTATTTCTTACATATTTTCGTAACTGTTTCATTGTTCTCCTTTTAACAGGTTTGAGACATTTTTAAGAGCATAAATAAAAAAAAATTTTTTTTGAAAGGAATATTATAAATTCTTTTTAGAATACAATACGTATATCTTAATTTTACAATAGTTGTACTAATAAACAGTTGACTTAGTATTGTCTTTTATTGACATAACCTTTACACATTTAAAGAAAACACTTTTTTACCGGATTGATTTTAAAATTATGTAAAATAATTGTAAATTTATAATAATACATAACTTCAATCCGGTAAAAAAGTGTTTTCTTTAAACAGTGGACTACTTAATTGGTAATTGTAATGTTATTGTTTGGACACGAAAAGCACAGACTATAGTCACCTACTCTACTTACTTTTACAAGGGCTATCTAGCGTTCCCTTTATGGGGAGGGTGACAAAATAAGTTTTTTAAAATCAATATATACTAATATTCCAGTAACATCCAACATAAAATCGGAAAATCTGTACACAATTAAAATACCAAATGGCCTTACACTGTATCTCGCGAGTGAATCGTCGACGAAGACTCAAAGGCTTTTGTGTGGCGTCGGACGGGCCTTTACCATGCAGATTCATGATAACACCAGACAAAGTGTAATGCTAATGGAGAGGAGGTTAGCAGCTGCCTCCTGCTGCTTTCCATGTAGACTTCAGGTTAGTTAAACTAAATTTCTAAAAGAGCGTTTTTACTGTCTATTTTTAAGCTATTGCATAAATTTGAGCGCGGCGACCGAATCAATAAATTCCGTAACGAAATAAACCTAACACACGATGACGTAATAAAGGTGCGGCCAATACGCGTTAGAGCGGGACAGAACGCATACTGCGTCTCACATCGGTTATGCGTGATCGGATAGGCGTGTTAGCCTGAGTCTGGTAGAGTGGTAGATTGAATTAATATCAAAGAAAAAACTTGAATTAATATATTGCATAAATTTATAAAAAATGCTATGCAATAGCTTTACCGCGGCAGTCCCCGAGTGCCATACGTATTTTTTATTTATTTATTTATTTATAGCCTCATATCAGAAATACAAAATATATACATTATAACTATTGTTTTTCTAATCTACGATAACTAATGCTGGGTGCCTACGGGCAAAGGCCTCCCCCATGGTCCTCCATTTTTCCTTATTGTATACCAATCTCGTCCAGGTCTTAAGTCTTTCCAGCCATCTCCATCGGCCCACCTTTTAAATTGCCTACCTCTGTTTCTTTTATGGCCTCTTGGTTGCCAAAGGGCATAGTGTTACAATTTTGCTTCATTTATCTGCTCCTCTTATGGTATGTCCAACCCATTTCCATTATAGTTCTTTTGTTTTACTGTCTACATTAACAATATTCAATAATCATCTGATTACATAATTTTTAGTCGCACGGATGGAATTACGATAGGGTTAAATTGTGTTTAAATGTGTCTAGACACGCAACTATAGGTAACCTTCCGATCGTTTATGACCTTATTTGACTAAAGATTGATTATTACCTTACCTTTTGTATAATATATTTGTTATTTTTATTTTAACCATCTGCAATCAGCCTCTTTTTGGTTTTTATCAGATTTTATGAAATGATGGCAATCAGGGAACGCAAATCCAATATTTTTTTTCCCCGTAATTCGTAATTAATCTCTTTCTCGACAGTGGCCCTTCCCAAATTTTTATGGACTTCAGCATTTCGTGTTAACCACGGCGCATCACTCATATTTCGCAGTGGTTTGTTGTGTTTTGTTTTGTAGCCACAAGATACGCTTATGCTAGTTTACCTATATGAATAAAAACCACTTAAAAACTACAGCTTTGTTAATATTCAACTGTAACTTTGATTGACTGACCATAAATTTATTCCTTGTTTATGACCTTTTTATTGCTTGCTATTAATTGTCACCGTTGTTTGGATTCAGGAGATGCAAGTAATAACGCCGCCAGGTAACTACATAGGTCGTGTTCAGCAGCAATGGACCTGGGTGGTTCCTTTCTACCTCGTGAGAAATGTTAATGACGAAGTCATATACGTCATTGAAGGTCCTTCAAGCATCGACAATCGGAATATGATCCTTGGGCATTTTAAGGTAATATAGAAAATATATGATTGACTTCCTCAACAGAAAAGTAATAACTCTTTTTAACTCCACTTTTGTATAAAGTAAAAATTAACGTTAATTTTAAGTCGTTCATATAAGTAAAGCCAAGTACAGATACCGGCAAACATCTTAAACAAATGTCCTTGCCTGCGCAGAAGCGATTTTTAGGTATCACTGGGAGGGGGGTGAGCGGTGGTGCGCGGCGGCGGGAGAGTGACGTGTCGATGGCGTGATTGGTAAATCAGTTGACGTTTGTGGCCCGCGCTGCGCAAACTTTCTCCCACTCCCTTGTTTAATGCTCAAGAAGTTTGTCGGTATCTGTAACGAACCGGTGCAGTCGCGTTCCTGAACATGCTTTATAGGCAAATAGTTAAAAATAAGAATGATCGAAACCGTTGCCTAACCATACTGAATATCTATCTTATTTTATCTTTTCTTGAATTTTCAAGCCATTATAAATTAAAACAAATACGGACGTTATTCATTCACCTAATTAGAACACAGACCTGGGTCTTACACAATATACCTAGATAAATCTATTTTATTTTATCTTTAACTTAGTACTTTTGAATTTTCAAAGCGAATTATAAATTTAATAAAATATCAAATACGTGACAGTTATTCATTCACCGTAATTAGAACACAGAACCTGGGTCTTACACAATATACCTGATAAATCTATTTTATTTAATCTTTATCTTTGTGTTATTACAGATACTATCGAGTGATTTTTTAAGAGAAGTTGGCAAAATATCACACAGGTGGGAGGGAGACGTGAATAGTTTCGTAACGGCGATAGAATTTCCACACTGTGCCTCAGACCCGAAACAGAAAGCCCTTCTTCTTGCTGCTACATTTTTATTGGTATATAATATTTTTTAAATAATCTATACATTCATATTAGCACTGAAATTAATGAAAACTAATTAATATCTTCAAGTAAATACATATTATATTTCGAAAATTGCAATCATATTATGGTTGTTTCTTGAAAATCAAAGATTTCAAAATACTATGACATAATATTATATGTAATATAGGCCCACAATCTGAACCGGTGACGGCGTTGCTAAAGTCGAACCCATCAATTGAAAATTGGCGGTTTTAAGGGTAAAATTCTTTCGGTCTTATTTATAAAAAACAAGATTCCTTAAAACACTCGATAAACGTCGATGAAAATAATCTGTGGTGGAGATTTTTCAAGGAAAAGACGTAACCACAGATTAATTAAACTATCTCTAAGGAGTGCTTTAGAGGAATCGTGTTTTTATAAATCAGACCGTAAGTCTTTCAGCATGAAGTATAAAATAAAGACAATTTTTTTTGGTAGTTTATATATTTTGTTACAATATTGGTGGGATCCATTGATATTGTCATTCATGACGTGCATCATGTGTCTATTAAGTATGCCTCTTTTAAATAAAAGAAAAGCAGATGTCACTTGATCTATAGACGTTGTAAAATGCTCATTATTTTCTTTCAGGAGTACACGTATTTCGAGAGGGCAAAAACAAGTTGTCTGCGGTTTAATTGTTGTTGAAGTGCCAGGATGTTTTGTACACAAATTATAAGTTATTTGATTAATTGATTTTGTAGGACATTACGTAAATAGCTAAGTTGTACCTTTCCATTTAATTTGCATACTCTAAGTCCGTAAACTCGTCTGGTGTCCAAAAAGTTCAAACAGTCAGTTGACTGACTGAATCTTGCGACTAGATTAAAGTGTCGTTTAAGAAAGCGGTTCCTTATCAAGTTGAGTATACAACAGGAAAAGCATCAGCTAATAAAGACTTTGTTAAATTTTATATTAAAAAATAAATTTTTCATCATATATTTTTTATTATTCCTATATGTTCTAATTTTTATATTGTGCAGAATAACTTGCATCATTTGTCTTAGACCGGCATACTACCCCGGCTTCCTCCATATAAGTCCCCAAGAGGCCCCCTATATAAGTCCTATGGTAAATAAAGTACAACTAAAGAGCTTGATGGTTCCAGACGCTTAAAATTTTTAACTAGAAAGGATTATGATATGAATGGTAGACACCTAAATGAGGACGTGTGGGCATATAAAACTTTATTTATAAACTTAAAATAACTTTATTCATATAGGTAACCAAATACACTTATGAACATCAATAGAAAAGATGTTAAATTGATTCTAAATTTACATTTACCAGTTCGCAAGTCAAGGTCGTAGAGAGGGCAAGATATATAACTTATAGCAAAGAGACTTAAATAAATAATTAATAACGTATTTTATACTCTTTGATTTATATAGATAAAAAATCTATATTGTCACACATTATATTATGTGACAAATATGTCAAATACTATCAATACAACATTTATGAATAACTTACATTTTTTACAAATATTTCTTAATATAAACATTTACTGAAAGTAATGGTCAATTCAAGTAAACCTTGCAAATCTGTTGATACAAAAAGAGAGAAGACATGGCTTTACGACCAGTATTACATTGGTGAAAGAGATTCTGAAAAGAGAAAGAGTGGACGTGGTATACATCACTGGACGGGAGCGAAGGTGAAACTAGCAATCTAGAATTGTTTAAATTTCATCTAATTACCACCAATCAATTTTCATTATCTAAGGTATCTTATTTTGTATGATGTATAAATTTTACAATTATAGTTTTGTACCCAAGCGAAATCGTAGTCATTCAAAATTTAAATGTTCCCAAAGGGCTGACGATAAATAAAATAAAATAGCTTGATTCAAGTATTTTAAGTTATTATATATTTAACACGAGTACAAGATCTGCGAAGGAGTGAAGGCCTCCTCCACATTCTTCCTCTTGTCTCTCATCTTCGCTATGATTATCCAATTTCCCTCACTATTTATTTTATTTTACCTTCCCAGATTTCTGGTGGGCGTCCATCATCAGTCAAAAAGGCTGATGTTACTTGATTTAAAAAGAAATTTAGTAAAACATCTACTGGCATAAACATCTCTCAACTCTTATAATTCAGTATAATACAATAATTATTAAAATTTATTTAGTCCCTAGAAAGCTACGATGGTCAATTCACATGTGATACAATGCATGGTGCCGGAGAATACCGATGGAGATATCATGATGGTAAACCATTTACCTATGAGGGCTATTTCTTTAATAATAACATGCATGGATATGGAGTGATGTCTTTTCCTGATGGACGGACATTTAGGGTAAATAAATTTTAAAAATAAACGGTTAAAGTCCGCTTTTTATTGATTAACATTACCTTATACGTCAAAAATCCAATACATTTTTGACAAAAGCAATTACAATAAATAATACAGTGTAAACTCTTTATAACCTCGTTCGCTATAAGGACTACCTCTCTATAACATAAAAAAGATACAATTTGGTTGGTTTAACACAAATATTTATAACACAATACATTCATTTACTCTTTGTAACGGCCACTCTCTATTACGAATTTTTCCATATCAGACATCAACAAGATACTTAAGTGTAATTGTTTTTATAATCAGATTACAAAACTAACCTATTGAGGTGCCGAAATTTCTAAAAAGGCATCTGAGGTCATATATAGCCGTCTCGCCTTTATTATTGTTAATTGTATTTTATTACATTATTCTTAGATTACATTGCCTGTAGGAAATTTTGATCTTAGTTACTAAACGCACCATTGTCACCTATGTACTCGTATATTTTCCCTTCTCTCTATATAACGAAAAAATATAAAGAGTTTACTGTATGTACGAAATTACTTTAATAGTCTTTGCTTTTAATTTTCTTTTTCTTTTAAGACGATACGCCCTCCAGCCCCTCGGAGTATAATTATGTGTCATAGGCAGTGGGATCATTTAATATCAGTTGAGCCTCCCGCCTCTTTGAAACAAAGGGCATACAAATGTCCAAAGCATTGCGTCCAGTCACCTTCTTATGTCTTTGACAAACGTAGTTGACCTGTGTCCATTCTACGGAAGTACAATTGTCATAGAAATTTCATGCATAAGAGAACATTTACCACTGAATCGGGTCGTCTCAGAACAAATTTTTCATCTAATTAGGTATGATTTTCACTCGGGAGAAATAATACTGAAAGTGTTGAAAATGACTTCGCGAGTAATAGAATTTTACAGATAAACGCTTTATTAAAAATTTAGTACGGTAAGCAAAACAGTTTGTTTTACAAATGCAAACTGGTGTCTACTAATCATTCTAGAAATTATATTAATTTTTTGGTAGTCTAACCAATGTTTTAATAGCAGAGTTGGCCTAGTTGCTTGAGCGTGCGACTCTCATCTCTGAGGTCGCAGGTTCGAATCCCGGCTGTGCACGAATAAAAGTGTAAAGGAAAACATCGCAAGGAACTTCGTCGACCTTTTTAGTATTTAAAAGTGGTGTTGTCTTCTCTTTAAGCTTTTATAGGATAATCCAACTCCATCTCACTTAACCTCTGTGATTACCCAGAGATGCGTAATGGAGCAATGAACAAACCAACACAAAATACGACAAAGACAAGCACTTCTAAGATGTTAATTTCTCTAATAACTGAATGTTTATCAGGGTCTGTTCATCAATAACACACGATGGGGTCCTGGTATACAATCACATGCAGCGATAAATGAAGACGTTGGCCTCTGGTGTGGTAATCAGCTTATCAGATTAGCATGGAAACCATCCACGCCGAGTATCACTCCCGATTTCATGATGAATACTGTTGGAAAGACTATAGTTGAATATCATAGACGGTTATTAGCCACAAAGATAAAAGTCGTGGGTATTTATTGTTTGGTTTGGTTTACAACAAAATATCTTATTGATTAATTGTACGAATAGTAGACATTTAATACGTAATAAAATATGAGAAAACTTCTACTGAATTACAGTAAATGAAAAAACTAAGCTTTATCAATATCTGCGGCGTTGGCTTCCTCTAAACCATACCTTTTCATCCATCTCTTGCCAACTTCCTCAATCCTGGGCCACATCTCTATGCAGCCCTGCGATTCTCTTTATCTCACTTTTCGAACTCACACAGCGGTTTTCGCATCGGCGGTCGCTCTGAAATCAGTCGTGAAGCAGTCATTTTATGATTTGGCATTCTGATAAACAATAAACTACAAGATCCCACCTTTTCAGAAAAGTGAGTTACAGAATCGCAGGGCAGATCTATATTTCCATCTACTCTTTGGTCTACCTAGATCGTGTAGATGATATAGTGGGATCCATTCGGTTTCGACTATTGCCCATCTGTTAACCATGCAGGTTAAATAACGGGGTCGCCCGTTCATTTAAGCTACTTAGTTTATTTTTACATAATGCGGAAATTATGTCAAATTTTAGAACAGTAGTTCAAGAAATATTTTCGCTGGTAACACAGACTGTTTTTGTTCTAGATAGGAAAAAGTAACAGTGCCTTAGATCTTCTAAAGGAATGTGGGGCTGACCCAGTATCAGCAGTAGAAAAATGGCATAAATTATATCCAAAACATTGCACAGATATCGCTAGTCCAATGTGTCATGTTCAACAATTTGAATACGACTATTATGAAAAAAATACTCAATATAAACTTGAAGAAGTAAACCAGATTCCATACTTCGAGGTAAACTGGTCAACTTGAACTTTGATTTAATTACTTTAATCTTATAATTATTTCATAAAGTCTATTAAGTATGAGGGTGTGCAATTATTTAATCAATTACCGTCTATAATTCGAAATATTAGCGCGCTTCACTAATTCAAAAGGGCATTAAAGGTACATGTCAGAATGAGCCCAGTAAACTATAATTGGGACGGCTGATGGCGACGTGTATCTCGTTCGTATATACATATTAAATTTAAGTTAATGAGAAATACATTTCTTTAAACATTAATCTTATTAATAATATCAAATATCAGGACACGCAAACAAGCGACACCGAACAAAATAACATATATTATGCATGGAACAATAATAATGTTACAATAAACATGATGAAACATAGCTATCAACATGAAGAGCAAAGGGACCACTCTCAGATTGACTTATCTTCTATATTATCTGGTCCAAGGAGATTGTTTAAATCTGCTGGAAAGCACGAGGCTGATTGCAGAGCTTTACTCTTGACTAGCTACTTAGGATATATTGTTAATGTAGCGCAACTTATTAATAAAGAAAATGTTCACCCAAATGTATCCGATTTGCAAGGAAATTCAGCTCTCATGTATGCTACGGTAAGATTTATAATTGATGAATATTAATCAGTTTGAGTAACGTTAAGTCTCACCTTCTTAAAGCCTTACCATAGAATATAGTTTAATATTAATAGTTGAATCTATGTAGGTATGAATTTTGCGGTTTCCTGAAAATTGTCACTTTTTCACGCTACAATGGACGTAATCTCTATATATATATAAAATTCTTGTGTCACATTGTTCGTTCCCATACTCCTTCGAAACGGCCCGACCGATTCTTATGAATTTTTATGCATATTTAGTAAGTCTAAGAATCGGCTACTATCTAACTTTCAAACGCCTAAATCTTAAGGGGTGTCCACCCAAAATTTTTTGTTTTTATTTTTTTATGATACAGCATATTAAAATACATACAACCCTTAATTTTCATCTACCCTCTACAATCAACCCCTATTTTTTATTTGTTGGTTAAGAACTTATAACTTGATCACTAAGGTTTTTATAGAGAAAAATCACAGATACACCTAAAAATTTTTCATTCTGGAAAACCGAACAGTCTCTGGGGTAGCATAGCAAAATGTTCCATGTTGGTATGTACTAAAAACCTAGGCTATGCATTAAGGAGAAACAAAGTTCGCGGGGGCAGCTAGTAATTATCTATTTTGCGTTTGCGTAAACGATATTTTGATACTATGATGTTCCCAGTGCGGCGATCAAGCAGATGTAATACGTTTCCTAGTGGAAGCGGGAGCTAACGTAAATGCATTCAATGATACTTGCTGCACACCTTTGGGAATCGCTCTGATGCGGTACGCTTGTGCTATTAATGATATTCCACCAAATTCGATGGTACAAGCCCTTATTCCTCCACCAGTTATACCTACTCCACGTAAGCTGATTAATTAATAATTTCAGAGGAAAAACCTACTTCAATGTACTATTAAAAAGTTTTTTTTTAGCTACAGAAGAGTCAAAAGTTTTTGAATGGAATATAATAAGAGATCAATTTGGGCCAACTATAACTTCAATAAATAGAACTCCAAGTAAAACAGGAAGAACAGCGAGTTCAAAGAAAGTTAAATCCCTAATGTCCATTAAAGATCAGCCTGTTAGCAAAAAAAAGACTGACGCATCACCTATAAAGCATCCAGAACCGTTGTACGAATCAGATGATTCATTGTGTGATTATAAGAAAGTATACAATGACGCTAATCGAGAATATTCGATTAAAGTAAATGATATATTTATAAGCCCCAACGCTGATGTTCCATACTTATTCAATATCGCTGATATGATCATGGAAATTGAAACTCTTGAAGAGGATTCCAAGAAAATTCAAGAGAAGAATCCAAAAAAAAATATGTCGAAAGTAATTAAAGACACCTTTAAAACTAGTAAAGTGTTGATAAGTCAGAGTAAAGAAAGATTAGACCACATGTCAGAAAACAGCTTACAAAAATTAAGAAGTGATATGTACGTGTCACTTGAAATAAAATGTAATAGATAATTAAATTTTAATTTTGGTAACAAAAATTTTAGGTTGTCGAAAATGAAATTAACAATTCTTGAACTTTTGGCAAATGGTGCAAAACCAACGTTAGTGTGCTGTCCACAACCTGCATTGGTGATGGCAATTTCATGTAATAGTCCTGACTTAATCAAACACTTGGTGCAATATGGTGCTGATGTAAACGAGTTATATCCAAGGGTATGTAAATACAAATTAGTCTTCTATGAACATATTTTATAATTATCAATAATACGATTTGTGCATAGTTACGAGGCTATTCGCCATTGGACATTGCGGTATCAAGACAGTTTACTTGGGAAAACTTAGAAATAATAAGAGCATTACTCGAAAACGGCGCAAATGCTAATAGAAGTATACACTGTGAAGGCGATTCATCAGATATCACTGTAACTGTAATACGAATTTCAGCACCAACACTTTTACATGCTGTTCTTGCTAGAAAGGTAGAAATTGAAAATGAAGAAGAGGTATAATATAACTTAATACTATAATTTCCTGTGTCTAATAAACATATTTTTTTCCTTGGCGCGACAGACAGTCCTGGCTGTTTCAGCGCAGAGAAATCAGTTACCCACGTAGTCCTGGAAAACGTATGTAGTTTCCCAACAAATCCTCTAAGCTATGAGGTCGCTCCGTGAAGTCTGCAAAGTGTCCAGGAAACTTATGAGATTCTGGAAGAAGCTAGGCTGGCTTAAAGAGCCTGAACGCACAACAGACCAAATGGGCGTCTAAGTGCGGAAACTGAGCCCTACACACTTCCCTAAGTCGCGACACGTCGACACGCCGTGGTCTGTTCATAATTCTACAATACTTTTAATTTCATATTAAACTTTATTTTCAGATTCGTCGTCATTTAATAGATCTACTTTTAGATTACAATTGTAATCCGCTATCGCAGTTTAAAGGGCGCTCAGCGATTGATGTAGCAATGACGAAAAATATAAGTTTATTCGACGTATTTGTGCGAAATCGTAAAACGAATCTAAATTGTGTTATTAATGATTCAAATCAGAGCGTTTTAGTTAAAATGTTTTCGATTCCTTTCTTCAAAAGCATTGGTGCGGAGAGAATTCAAATCGTGAGTTAGACATAAATAACTAAATGATACTTATCATTTCAGACCCAACTCATCACATCATTAACAATTTTAACAAAAGATTTACTAAACAAAAAAAATTCAATATAATTTACTAATAATAATAATAATTACGGAGGATAGGATAGGAAAGTTTGTAAAACAGAGTAGCATTTTTTGAAATTGAAATAGTAGTGAACCATGGTTTCAATACGTATTTTATAATGGAGTCAATAATGTTTAAACATGCTTTCTTAGATGACATTAGTTTACAATGTGTTCTTCCAGTTGATAGATCTATTGGTATATGGTGCAGATCCTTTACTATCGTGTAAGAATGGCCAGGATAAATATCAAAATATTTTTGTTTTCGCTAAAAAAACATTGAGCGAAATGGAAAATGGCCCCCAAGGTATTTCGTCAAATAGTTTAGTGTTGATCTACTGCCAACCTGTACAAAGCTTAAATAACCTTTTGCCGAAAATATTATTTCTATTTTTCTGAAGTTGAGATGTGTAGTTGCGATGTCAACATAGGAATGTGTTTATAGCACTACTATATTATTTATGCTATTTTTGCAAGGTAAAATATTTAAACGATTATTTCATTGTTCACAAATGCTTGCCTTAAAAGAAGCAGATATACGTGTAATTATCAATTTCCTTTTCTGGTACATTGGATGTAACATTTCTAGAAAAAATGAAGAAAGAAGATGTCAAGAAACCTGAAAAACCCAAAAAGGATGAAAAGCTGTCCACAAAATCTATTGGAAGAATGGTAACAGATGACAAAGAAGATTATAAGCAAGCTATAGAACTCGTAACGGAGTGTGGTAGGCTTGTACATATACGATGGTTGCAAGGACAATTGGCTAAAAACCTTATTGAAACCATATACAAGTAAGGATATCTATTATCTACCTATAGATTTGTAAACTGTTAAAGCAACTATGCCAATCAAGAAGATAGTTGCCTGTAGATTCCAATAAAATTTCGGCTTCGGTTCTGTCAAGAAGATATTGACCCAAATATGTAATCCAAATATATGTTTGTAAAATTAACTTGATAGATGAAGAAACAATGATGAGTGCACGATGCCACGTCTTGTTTGTGATTGTTCAAACTGGAAAGATTTGATTAATGATGCTGATAACGAAACGTATGAAACGCGCCAAGGTTTCGGCGTTCGTTCTCATCCACCTCAATGTCAAAACGCACCAATCATGTATTTGAGGGCACAAATTAGATACGGACACAACAATTATACCCGTTATGCAACATCATTTAGTCTCTGCTCTTTTTTGTATTAGTGTGACGTTGTATTACCTTCCTCAAACAAATTCTAAGGACTATTAAAGTTTATTTATTTACCGAGTAGTTCCCGAGATTAGCCCTAAAGCCAAACAAACTCTTCAGTTTTATATCATTCATTAGTAGAAGTATAGACTCAAGTTAGTACGGTATGTGTTACCATGGTTACCAATACGTTTTACATAGTCCATAATTTTTTTATTTACATTTCAGATACAGACATCGACAATGGAACATGATTTTAAACGAATGTAAGAATAAGAAGGCTATCGGCCTGTGGCTTACGCCACATCGTGGTATAGAGATATGGAACATTTTTAATTCTACAAAAAAGAAAATTTACACCGACCAAAGAGTTTTGAAACATTTTCTATGTATTGTCACTTTTCTCGCTTGGAGATTCTACAATCCTAAAAAGAATGATTTCACTCCTTGGTCTAAGGTCACAACTATTGTCAAAGACCTAATAGAGAAGGATGTCCTCTACCTTTTGAAAGAAAATAATTCTATAAACAAAACAATAGAAGATATTCCATGGAAATGTTCTTTTGTTAAACCTGAGCTAGATAGAGCGGTAATTTTATTTCTAATTACTACATTATAGATAAACCAAAGATTTTTTTGTGAAAAAAGTTTCTTCTAGAAGCATCTTTCGAAACTAAGCTTATTTGCTTTAGTGTATGTTAAAATAAGTGTGAGCAATGTCGCGGCTTTTCACCAATTTCATGTGCGCAATTAACACTAGTTGCTCCTACGGCTAAAGCAAACATTGTAAGAATCTTCTAAAATCTAAAAACCTGCGACACGTGACATAGAGGGCTGAACCCTACTTTAAAAATAGTCTGCGCCCACAATCCATATAGGGATTGTAGCGCAACTGGATAAATATTATTGTTTAAAAACTATTAATGAATATGTAAAGTGCACATTTTTTTTTGTATAACAGGAGGCTCATCTGAAGTTAAGTGATACCGCCCATGTACACTGCCAATACCAAAGGGCTCGCGAGTGTGTTGCCGGTCTATTAATTTATTTTTAGTGTATACAATAAATTATTAAGAACAGAACTATATAATTTGCACCTAGGCACAGAAGACTAAATTATACGCAATAAACCACCAAATTTACCATAAAAATTATTTTCAGGAGAAGAAATTTAAAATTTGCTTCGAGTGTGCATTGCCCCTAAATGAGAATAAACTAACCTGCAATATATGTAAAATGATATCTTTTTGTTCGTTAGAATGCTTAAAAGAAAATGTAGATAGAGCCAACTGTCATCCCTGTAGCAACGATTTAAAATTAAAACATTTTCCTTCACTAGACTAATCTATGGAATGATTATGGAAAATGTTATACAGTTGAAGATCATGTCGACGTCGAACTATGAATTTAGCAGTATATTAATATTTTTTGAATATTTCTTATTTTTATTAAAAATTTCGTATTATCTAAAATAACAAAAAAATACTCCAATAAATATGTAACTGCAATATAATGAAAGACTATTTATTCGTCGACTTCAAAAAACACGAGGAACTTTAGAGCCGTATTGGCCTGCATCAGCGTGCAACTCCCATCTCTAAGGTCTTAGGTTCGAACCCCAGCTGTGCACTAATAGACTTCTGTCTATATGCGCTTTTAACAGTGGCTGGTACGGTAAAGGAATTAATCATCTTGAGGAAACCCACATGCCTTAGACCCAAAAAGTCGACGGCGTGTCAGGTACAAAAGGCCTTATAATGTTCCTACCAGAAACAACAAATTAACACGAAACACATAGAAATCTGAGGCCCGGACTCTAAAAGGTTGTTGTGCCACTAGTTTGTTTTTATTATTTCTTAAAGCCGAAGTCTAGATTCCCGTACGATAAAAATGTATGGACTTCGATCAACGACTTCGTACTAACCCAAAAAGTATAAACATTCTCATGTGATTTGTATATCACTATGGATTTTAGCATACGGGACATATTACATATTTCGCGCGATATCTCGTTTTTTACTCTGTGGTCAATGTATATAACCTTAAAGTATATTATCTGAGTAAATATAAATTTTACCTCTACTAGATCTGTGATAAAAATAATACAACTATTTAAATTTAATAATTATTCTTCATTCAAGTTAATGCAATCGATATTTAATTGTTATAACAAAATCCCGTTTCGAGCAATGGCTTCAGCTGCAAAGAAAATAAAGCTTTCAAAGCCCTCCACAAGTGCCGAGAAAATTACTTTACAAGATTTTATGGATAGTATTCACAAAAAGCGGGAAAATACGGCGAAGTCAGTTTTAGAATATAAATTTAACAAAAAACGAGTAAGAATAATTTCTCAGGAGCAAATGGTATCTGATAAATGTAAAGGCATCGTTTATTGGATGTCCAGAGATAGTAGGGTCCAAGATAATTGGGCATTTTTATTTGCACAGAAATTGGCTCTCAAGAACGAAGTACCGCTTCACGTTTGTTTTTGTCTTATTGCTAAATATTTAGATGCATCTGTCCGACAATTTCACTTTTTAATTAAAGGTAACGTGAAGTTATGTCAAAAAAATTAATTCGAATATCTTCGAACACCTGAAGATATTCGTATTTTTATTTTCCATAATAATTTCTAGTTATTTGTATTTTTTAGGATTGGAAAAAGTTGCAGCTGACTGCAAAAAGTTAAATATACAGTTCCACTTGTTGGAAGGTAGTGGAGCTGATGCACTACCAGAATGGGTTGTAAAACATAAAATTGGTGCTGTGGTTTGTGATTTCAATCCATTGAGAGTGCCAATGGGCTGGTTGGATGGTGTTAAGAAGAAACTAAAGAAAGATGTTCCTCTTATACAGGTATTTATCTCTTTTTTAAATAAGAACTGTATACAATAAAAAATTCACCTTTCATACAGGTTATATTAGATTGGATTTAATACAAAAAATAAGTAAAAAAGAAAGTGTACCAGATTTTCTGTATTTTCAGCTACATTTAAGAGAATTTCTGTCTCATTTTTACCAGCATTTATGTGTTTTCAGGTAGACACACATAACATAGTGCCATGCTGGGTTGCATCCGATAAGCAAGAGTATTCTGCTAGAACTATAAGGAATAAAATCAACTCTAAACTTGATGAATATCTCACCGAGTTTCCACCAGTAATAAAGCATCCTTACACAAGTGAATTTGAAGCAGAGGTAATTTACATTATATGAAAAATTAACAGTTGAGTTTGTGTTTTGGAAGTAATATCTGAACATATTCTACTAATTGTGCATTATTTTATTGCACATAATATAAAATAGACAAAAAAATTTATATAGGACAAGTGTAACAGGTAGGTCATGTCTATATGCAAATTTTACTAGGCAACCTGTTTGTATAATGTATAAGTGAAACACAGTTAAACAGAAATATTTTTTTGCTGGTATATACAAAATCTGCAAGTGATTTTTTTTTAACAAGATTGTTTTCTCCTTACTCCTTCTCTCTTTACTCCTCATCATGTTGTCCATGGGCTGCAGCAGCTGCCTTCTATGGTCTCCTCCTCCTCTCCCTTTTGTTTGCCCCTCCTATCATATATAAAAACAAATTAAGGGGAAAGATTTGAACAAATATTTTTTTCTTAATCAGAGTGATTCTTTGGATTTATACTGCTAATATTATATTTATATATTTTCAGCCAATAGACTGGGATGATGCAATAGAATCTCGAGAAGCAGACAAATCAGTTGGGCCTATAGAATGGGCTGGTCCCGGTTATGATGAAGCTGTCAAAACATTGAAAAGCTTCCTAGATACACGGCTTAAAATATTTGCCAGCAAACGCAATGACCCCACACAAGAAGCTTTGAGCAATTTATCCCCTTGGTTTCACTTTGGTAAGGTATTGCAAGTATTTATGATTTTTTAATTTAGTTTATACTGTGATCTAGTCCAAAGACGCGATGGTTTATTCTAATTAAATATCTATTGTTTTTTACATGCTGTCTTTTAACACTAAAACTTTGTCTTTACTTTGCTTTACACAAAATTTGCAAAGAACACTAATTAGGAAGTCATACTCTTATTATTTAAATCCTCATTAATTGGTACCACAGTACATAAACCGAGGGAAAAGTTGATGTGTTTGTTCAAAAACTAACATAATTATATTATTGGTTAGTAATACATATTATATTTAATTAATAGTTTATTAATTTTAAAAAATCTCTTGGTGTATGTATAAAATATAAAGGTAAAAATCACGTTATAAGTTAAAAACATTCCTATTGCAGGTCAAATATCAGTTCAGAGAGTAGCATTATGTGTACAAGAATACAAATCTAAATACACGGAGAGTGTCAACGCTTTTCTTGAAGAGGCAATTGTTAGACGAGAATTGGCAGATAATTTCTGTTTTTATTGTGAACACTATGACAGCATAAAGGGTGCTAGCAATTGGGCTCAAAAGACATTAGATGACCACAGGTAATGTATTTATTCTTTGTGTTTTATTTTAAAATGGGCTTGAGAGGCTGGTAGGGATGTGACATTCTGCATTAAAAAATCGATTTTTTCCTATTTTGAATTCATTTCAAAATAAATACCTTAAATATTTTATTTTTCATGGTTTTATTAAAGAAAAATAAAAATATAAAATAGGAAAAAATCGATTATTTATTAATCAATTTTTCATGCTAAAAAAATAATCGATTAATAAATAATCAATTATTTTTTCACATCCCTAGAGGCTGGTGTTAAATGTATGTGTTAAGCCCATAGTCTCACTCACCCATGTTGCCTGCCTTTTACGAATCGGATCCCTTGAAGGAAATTTGTATTAAGCATTTTATTCATAATTTTTAGTGAATTGGTGAGCCTTCTATTCTATATCCTATATATTATATAGGTAATTACTGAATCATTAAAATTTTAACACTGCTTTTGAGTATAAAAGACAAGCTTAAGGTACATATTTTAAAGATAAAGATTAAAAAATCGATTGCATACCTTATTCTTTAATTATGTTTATGTGTGTATTTTTTTAAATATAAGTTTTTTTGCCAAGGTTTTAAGGCGAAAGTTTGTTTTTAAAGAGTATAGAATACAAATTTACAAATGTGTCACTATACTTTTGATCACCTCTATGAGTAATTGCAACACATGAAAAACAGTAGGTCTGTTAGGTTTTTTAAGCTATTGCATAGATTTTATCGCGGGCTTTGAGCGCGGCGACAGAATCAAGAAATTCCGTAACGAAAATAAAAACTTAACAGATGATGACGTAATATAGGTGCGGCCAATACGTGTTAGAGCGGGACAGAACGCATACTGCGTATTCACATCTCTCTGACGAGATCGGTGACGTAGCGTAAGCGAGGCCGGTGCAGCCAGTACGCGTTAGAGTGAGACAGACTATATAGGCGTGTTAGACTGAGTCTGGTAGAGTGGTAGATTGAATTAAATTAGATATTAATCAAGGAAAAAAATATAATTATAACTGCATAAGTTGATAAAAAATGCTATGCAATAGCTTTACCGCGGCAGTACCCGAGTGCCACACGTTTTTTTTATTCGGTCTTCGCGCTGTTTTTTTTGTCAGGCAATCATGTCAACATAATCGATCTTTGTTTTAAATACTTTATTACCGAATGTTTTATTCAACCTAGGAATAAATATCTATACTAATTATTTTTATTCACAAATTTCAGAAAAGACAAAAGGTCGCATATATATACATTAGAAAAGTTATGTAAAGGAGAAACGCATGACGATTTATGGAATTCGGCTCAAATACAATTGGTTAGAGAAGGAAAGTTGCACGGGTTCCTTCGAATGTACTGGGCTAAGAAGATTCTAGAGTGGACTTCAAGCCCCGAAGAAGCCCTGAAGTACGCCATATATATGAATGATCATTTCAGTGTCGATGGAAGAGATTCCAGTGGATATGTTGGTTAGTATGTTCAAGTCAATATTTATATTTATTTAATTTTGCAGGAAATTAAAGCAACATGTCTAAAGACGCAAAAATTATCCAAAAAATTTTTTTTACACATCTTTTGGTCCTGAACCTTTTAGGTCTAGGCCTCAGATTTATGTATCTGTTTCGTGATCATTTGTTTTTTTTTCTAAAAGGCAAGTAGATGACCAGCCTTTTGTACCTGACACCCGGTCGACTCTTCGGGTCAAATATTACATCACGATGTTTACCTTTACCTTACCAGTGTTCGAATCTACGACCTCAGAAATATCATATAATCTGCTTATTAAAAATAGACCAATAATTTTTTTCTGAAATCAGGAAAATCTAATTGCGTTATAATATTATTACTAAAAATCTAAAATAAAAAAAAATCCTAATCAGAAATTTTTTTTTTAATTACTGTAGTGGTAATGCACCAAAGTCTTTAATATATAGAATGAATTGCAGGTTGTATGTGGTCTATTTGCGGTATTCACGACCAAGGCTGGGCGGAAAGAGCTGTGTTCGGCAAAATAAGATATATGAACTACGATGGCTGCAAAAGGAAATTTGATATTCGAGCTTTTATAGCGCGCTATGGTGGGAAGGTACACAAATATGTACCCAGCAAATAAAATCATTTAATTTGGCTTGCTCTTAGCTAAGACTTTCCTATTGAATGTTTATATGAGATTCGAATAGGTCCTTTTTTAAGTCCATTAATGTATATAATTTTTTATCGATGTTGGTTTTGGAACTTAAAATTTAACAATTTTTTTAATGTTGATAAAAATTCTGGAGTTTTACTGAATATAGATGAAAATGTAATATACATATAATAGCGGACCCGACAGATCCTGTACACACGTATTGAAAACAAATTTTAAAATATGATAAAACAATCTGGATAGTTTTAAATCAATAAAAAATCTAATTGTAAATCTAAATCAGAACACACCAAATTTCATCAAAATCGGTTCAGCTGATTAAGAGTTTAATTAATTATACAGAAGATTTTATAATGACATTGTTCTGACACTAGATTATAATACATTTGAGATTGAAATTTAGAATTTTTAAAGTAACGTACTTTACTGCGGGGTCAAGTTGTGTCCATGCTTATGATACTAAATATCCAGACAATTGGATAACTTAGTTGATTACCACGTCCAGTATTTTTATATGGTTAGTTAGTTACAGCTAGCATTTTTCTGTTGACTATACAAGTTAGAACTAAATGTGTATAACATTATACTAAGTCATCGAAACATAATAAATGTATCTTTGTAAAACTTTTAATTGAATAGTCTCGAATAATCTATGATGTTTTACTATTCGTCATTTTACGCGATTAACAAACATTAAAAAGGTTTTAATTAATGCACGTTTATGAGTTATAAAATGATAATTTAAATACGTGTACGTATATTTTTATATTTCACTTTTAATGATATTAAGCCGTTGATATAATTCTAATTGAATAATTTTATTTAAGAGTACAGCAATAAAAACATTAAGAAGCTTGTAAAGTATGATAAAAAGTATTTTAGTTTTTGTATATATATAGGAATCTCAAAAATACTGTGCACGGTAAAGGAAGACGTGAAAACAGGCAAAGAAATAAGGTAAAGAAAAAATGATAACGAAACAGATCAGAACAGTAATCTGGATTTATTGCTGAAGGTTGCAGCACCACTAGTTTTATTTTCTTGTAAACTTAAAAAACAAATTATATAATTTGTTTTTATATGTTTTACATATAATAATCAGAAGTAATGTTGTTATACGTACCTGTAAATCCGGTCTCCATAACCACGACGGGTAGTAATTGCGATTTATTTTTAACAAAAAATGGGCGGATGTTAAATGTATAAGTGATAAATATACACATGTTCATGCTAAGCATGTTCTTAAAGTTGAAGTTTTTTCCACTTAATCTGTCAATTATTCTAGAATTGTTTTTTAATTAGGTTACGAAGGTACAAATAAGCAATAAGATTTTTGTATACTTTTGTCATTAAATGTGTTATTTTGAAACGTATTTTACTTTATTCCTAATCATTTTCGTATATGTATATCTAAACAACAGTTTTGACAATTCAAGGTTCATATGCGGAAGCTCGATCAGTTTAACCACTGACTGAGCTCCCGAAGTTTGGTGGCTAAGATCATGAAGTTGCATGACACTGATTGGAGGTGTCGCTACAGTTCCAAATACGCCCACGGCGGGCTCGCAAGTTTTAAGTACCGAAAGTTTAACGTATCTTTCATGTACCGATGAATCGTTAATCGAGAATTTGCTTCGCCCTCATCAATGTCTAGTGCGTACCTTATCTGTACCGTCTACAAACTATACCAGCGCCTCTAACGGATTCACCGTTATATATTTATAATCAAGTTACTGAATGCTTGTATCTTGGCTTTACAAAAATCTCTACAAAAAATTTCACTCAGCGCAAATGTAGTATTTCTTTTTCGAAAAAACTATCTATATTATCTGAGAGCTAACTATGTTAAGATTATACATAAACTAAGTATGGTTAATAAAATAAAACATTGGTTTCTTTGCTTATAAATATTTTTATTCATGAATGTGACTTGATTACACAATCATATATTTTTAATCAGATATAGAAAAATAATATCAAAGAGCTTTATTGGAACATTTGTGGATAAGTTTTTTCGTGGTTATTTGTCCTTCGTCGATACATTTGAAGGATTAAAAGTAACTCAAAACACCAACAAATTACTAAAAAATTAGAACCAAGGTCCTTGTCAAACACTATTATGTCATAATTTATTAACTAAGAAAATATAGGAAACGATTTACACACAATAAAATCGAAATAAAATTAAGTAAAAATAAGTATTTTTTCGACTGTTTATTATGGAATTTGTAATTATGTACCTGAGTAGTTTGAACACAAATAGTGGTTTGTTTGGACTCAGAATCCAAGACGCGTTTGAAACCACTGGCTCAGCGACCCAATTGGCTTTGGTTAGGACAGGTCGTATTGAAACAAGGTTATCGCAAAAAATGTTCTAGTTTGTATTTTATTGGAAATTCATTTTTTAAAATGTTGGAAAATCGGGCGCTGCCCATACGCGATAACCATGAAAGCAACACGATCAGCAAGTTACATAGAAAAAGTACTAAATTTCGTAGCAAAATTATGAGACGGTTTCGGAGGAACTGAGCCGCAACAGAATCCGGACTGAAACTGAACGGGAATGTTAAGCTGTTAGTGGATTCCTTTCGACCCTCGGAAATAAAAAAATATAGAAAAAAAATTGTCAACGTCACATGTAGGCGTTTACACACTATCCCTAGTCGAAAAGTGGACTTATGGCTATTGAAAGGGGTAGTGTATAAGAGCCTAAATATATATGTCTAAGCTCCCGTGTGTCGAGTGTGTGTGTGAAAGCAGAGCTAAACCTGTCTCGTTCACTGCACGCAGCACGAGTTCTTGTGGCCGTTCTTCTTCAGGCGCGACTTGGGCCGGTACTTCTCCAAGTACGAGAGTTGCTTCGCGTTTATTGCGCCGCGACGTTGGCTGGAATAAAGGGAATGATATAAGCGAATGGTTCATTTATACTGCAAAGTTTTACGTCAAAATCGTAAAAAGGATTGTCATATATATATAAATGTATTAAGAAATGTATTAAAGAAAAGCTGTGTAAAAAGGCTTACTATAAAGTCAACGATTATCTAGTTGATAAAAGGCCTAGTGAAAGCTCTTCTAATTAATTTGGATATTTGTTTTAAATAAGTGTTGTTTGATGATTTTGTTTTAAAAGAGTACCGAGATTTTTTACCCGCTTTTTCTCTGGCCTACACCCTCTTCTTTTTGATAGTAGGGATGCTTCAAATTTAATACGTGGAATAATGAAATTATCTTATGTTCCATAATAAACAATTATTTTTTTTATTTGAAGTATACTCACTCTCTGATGCTCTCAACAGCTTCTTCGTACTTCATTCCAAGCTCGATGAGCGCGATAGCAACCATCACCGGAGCACGTCCAAGACCTGCCACGCAGTGAACTGCCACGGCCGCTTCTGGCTTGTTCTGAGCCCTGAAATCAATTATAAAAACTTTTTAGTCTTCTGATTTAACACAGGGATCTACTAAATTTGTTGTATTTGATACTTTTGGAAAACTGCAAAACAATTCAACAATGAAACAGCTACTATGAAAGACTATAAAGTACCTCCATACGATTCATTCACAAGATATGAAACCAAGAAAAAAATATTATTTATTACATAAGTCAAAAATCATTTATTCATATAGGTAACACAACTATACATTAAATGCTTCTAATTTTACATGCCAGTTCTCAAATCAAGGCGTAGAACGTAAGAGATAAACTGGCAATAAACTCTCCGCCACTCTTTTTAATCGTACACATGTATATATAACCGCTTTATAGAACACTTGATCACTTACAACATCTAACCAGACTATCAAAGCAATGCATAAAACAAAATGAGTTACATTTGTAAAGAAAGTAAAGAATAATGGTTCCATGAAACGCCTTGCAAAATACTTCACGTTTATAAATTCACTCACTATTGACGTACGACCAAACACCTGGGTATCGTTACATTGAAATTAAAACAAACCATTCGCGTCATATTTTCCGAGAAACGATTTTATATTTCACAGATTCTTGCAAATTTTAATTTTAAATTGGTCTGCGTCATAGAATTTTCATGTGCTATTGACGTAAGCTGTGCAAAATAATGCAACCTAGGCTATTTATTGTCTCTAGCCACGTTAAGGTCATCACATCAACGTTTTTAATTGTGTGTCAATAATATTAAGGTATTTCAAAATTTCTTTAATCTTGACAACTTTATCATAAAAGTACAAATACTATACAGAGGGTAGTTACATAACGTTTTTATTTAAGACGCTCATATTCGGCTTAATTTATTTATGTTCTTTAGTCTTTTTTATTTCACTAATATCAAGCTAAAAACACTTACATTTGATATATTAATACTTTTTAAACCCACCATCTATTTTGAGGGTAGTTCTTAATTTAAATTTTTTTCTAAGAGGATATAATTCAAACGGTAATGTATGTATGTGTTTTAGTATCAAATACTGTCAAGAGTTCTTTCCACCGTAATTTAAATTAAATCAAGCTAATTTTAGAAAGATTAATTACCAATAATTACGTAATTTCAAAAGCTACAGAATTTGATTATTATAGTTTACTATTCTACTAAAGTATATATGAACAACTTATACAGTCCATATTTGCATAACAAACTTTTGTTCTAATATAGTATGCTATTTTCAGTATTATTCAATCGACTAATCGTCTAAAACTAACGAGATTTGGTTGATTGATTATTATGTGTTCGAAGATGCTTTCACCTACCGCGGTGCATTGAGTGCGCGTGCACTTTGCGCAGAAATGGAAAGTTAATACATTGACCTAAATGTTACCGATCTTGGAACTGATACTATTTTCTCTTTTGTATAATTCTGTTTACTGAACTAGTTTTGTTAACAGTTCAGTAGGATGAAACTCAGTTCATATTATAAAGAAAGTTATTTCGCTTTTAGAATTAAAACATAACGAGATAGCAGTATTATTAAAGACCTAATTAAAGCTTTAGATTTAAAGAGTTATATTTTAAATTAAATAAAATGTTTAAGGCACAGAATATTAATCAAGTTTCTGATTAAAATTGTCTTATAACCTATTTGCCTAAATAAAAAAGATCAAGGAAACAAATCCGAGGGAAGACTAATGATAAAAATAAATCAGTGGCGCTACAACCTCTTTAGGTCTTGGCCTCAGATTTCTGAATGTTTCATGATCATTTTTAAATCTAATAGCCTCCATTGCCTGACACACGCCGTCGACTGTTTGGGTCTAAGACATGTTGGTTTCCTCACGATGTTTTCCTTCACCGTTCGAGCAAATATTAAATGCGCACATAGAAAGTCCATTGGTGCACAGCCGGGGATCGAACCTACGACCTCAGGCATGAGAGTCGCACGCTGCCACTAGGCCAACACTGCTCAGAAGACTAATGTTACATACACATTTATTACAAGCCTCCTTTTATTCTTATTTAAGAATCTTGTGATCTAAACTGGTGTAAAAATACACTTACTTATCACGCAAAATCTCGAACCAATCGTCCACAACATTAGCCGGGGGGAAGGTGCCATCATCGTAAGCCAGATCCCTCACTTCGATGCCCTCGGCCTTCAGCGGTGCCGTGTCGTAACTCGGCTCGCAGACGCGCACCACCGTGCAAACGTTATGCTTCCTCAGTTCCTGGAAATAACAAAGGTTCTTTAGATATTTTTTGTAAACGTTTTAAAATTTCATTAAATAAATCCGTTACTGTATAGAGTACGGTGCTAGATATAATTAAAACATTGTTGTTTTTTTAAAAGTGTTAATGTGTTAACGGCAAATAGATAATAAGGGTTGTTAAAGACTAGCGTTTTTTACGCGCGTATATGTTCGTCTTTGGAAGCGCATGTAGGCAAGTATTGAGCGCACCTTTTGGCACACCCGCAACCCGTACGAGCGTTGACGCGCTTCTAAGCTCGTATAAGTTCGCACTTTTGGGTAGAGTGTGTTAAAGTGAACGGTTCTTTGTCTAGATGCAACCATCGAGACACCCAGCATCTTTTTCGTCTTCTTAGTCGACGGCGAATAAGCAACGGAAATAGCAATGTTTCTTCGTCAGAATCTATATTGATACTGACACAACGCCACTACCAGTTCGAGCGAACACGCCGAAATATGCCAGTTTACGCGCGTCCGGTTTTTGAAGCGCGTATGCTGAAACGACCGTATACGTGCAGAAAAGTACGCTAGTCAGAAACCGCCCTAATTTCTACACGTACAATTGGGAAGTGACAGGCATTATGAATATTACCAAATAAAAGTATGATCTAAAATGTGAGTGGTTTAAAAAAAACATTTAGTAAAAGTAATAAATGTAAGAAATGCTCTTTCTCAATCTCTTAAACACCTAAAAATTTTATGTTCTTCGGAACATATTTTTATAAATGCAATTCATAATTTTCTTACTACATTGAAATATGAAATGGTCTAGAAATAAAAACTAGTTAGAAATGCAACCTTAATCGGCCTTATAAAGGCTCTCGAGCCGAAGTGGACAGTTGCAGTAAACATCACAAGTGTTAGAACCTTGGTAATGGGCCATGACCGATAAAAGCGTTTTTGATTTTATTTGGAATATATATACACCAATTGGATACAGTTGAATAAGAAAACTTTGTCCTTCTTGATCCTCAATAATAATTTAAATAAACTATTTATTGATTAAATTGACAATCTGTTCTCATCTCACCACATTAACCACAGTAAAAACGTTCGCATCTGATGATGACATAGAAATTTCACTAGTAAGGGAGGAACGCAGTTACTATGGAAAGTGTTCAGAGTAGTTGTTCGGATTAATGCCTGCAGCTGAGTTTCATCATCGGACGTCGAGGCAGAATACGAAATTCCACCTCGACTTCCGTCGTTCCACATTATGTGGAACCAGCTGCCCAATAAAGTATTTCCGAACCAATTCGACTTAGGGTCCTTCGCGAAAAGAGCGTAGCAATTCTTAAAAGGCCGGCATCGCACTCGCCGCAATGGGCGGCGGTATCACAGTAACATCAGGTAAGCTTCCTGCCCGTTTTCCCCCTATTACATAAAAAAAACGGTACCACAGATCATGCGGTCGTCAGACGTGGGTATTGTAATGAGAAACAAATACACTACATAGTTTTAATCCTCAATGCCCACTGATGACAGTTTTTAACAAACAGGAACAATACCGTCATAGTTCCATGTATTTTCAATGTCATAGCCGCTTCAACAACTCGTAATTATTTAGGTCACCTTCGATATGCATTTGATAAATGAGCGCCACGTTTCGAACACAGAGCTCGTGAAATTTTATTTTATACGTTGACGTTTCAGATAAGATTGTATTACGTATTTCTTGCGTAGTTGCTTAGTACGCACATCCGCGCCTAGGTCGAAACTGTGTCATACAACGCTTTCCGTATCCAAAAATAAGTAGGGTGTGTTGGGGCTCGTGGGGAGTTGGAGGGGGGGAGACGCACCATACGAGAATTGGGGGGGTAGAGAGGGGGCCCGCATTCGGACATCACATACTTTCCTCTATAGGAATATTCCGGTATAATTAATGTAAACATACTAAATTAGATTTAAGGTATTAGTGAAATAATGTTTGGAACCTTGTTTTCTGAATTAAAAATAAATTAAATAAAGCATTAACATAGAAATATGTACGATAGTATTATTTTTGAAGTGAAACTTCTTTATGAGGTTGGAAAAAATTTAGTGTAAATTTTTTCGTTAGGTCACATTTTTCGGTTAGCGATGTTGCTTTTTGAAGTCAAACTTCTTTATCGGCGTTAAAATATGACATATAGTATGTTTTTGACTTTGAAGTTTGACAACGGATTACATTTTCGAAGTAAACTTCTTTATCGGCGTTAAAATATACAAAGTATGGATGAGTTTGACAACGATTAATTTTGACTTGAAATTTGCTAATCGCAATTTGAGAATTAATTTGTAAATTGTATGCTACAAGTGTACAATTTACTGTGTTTAAAGAAATAGTTTCGGACCTCTAAACTAAAAACAAATCAATTTGGCTCTGTAATTACTTACGTGTAACTAGTACACGCACACATTTTTTTATATGTAGGGGGCAAACGGGCTGGAGGCTCACCTGATGTTAAGTGTTTCCGCCGCCCATAGAATCACATTCACAAGTCCATTGCCGGCCTTTAAGAATTGGTACGCTCTTTTCTTAAAGTAGGTACCCTACGAATAGGTTCGGAAATACTTCAATGGGCAGCTGGTTCAACATGGTGGAGCGCGGCAAAAACTGTCTTAAAAAACGCTCAGTTGTGGAACGATGGACGCCGAGGTGATGCGGGTGGAATTTTGTATTCTGCCTCGACGTCCGATGATGAAACTAACCTGCTGGTATTGATTCTAACAACTTTGAACACTGCGGTAGAAGATGCTAAGAAGTAATGTCACAAACACACGCTCTAGGTTAACCTCCTCAGTGAACTCCCTCTAAATCTAGAATCGAGAAAACATTTCGTTCGTGATACGGCATACTGTAACCATCGTGCAGCTATCATAGGTTACGGCTCAAGCCTTAAAAAGAACGAATCATACGTACGTACGCCAACTAGCTCGTATGACGGAGAATATTATATACGTAATAAAGTTGCCAATTCCAATATCGACTCGATTGGGAATCAATATTAGTACAAAACCGTTTAGTAAATAATCACCATTGACTATGAATATAATAAATAAAAGAGAAAATTCGACATCCTACTTCCACAGAAAACAAACCTAAACCTTTTCATTGCTTCACAATGAATTCTCAAATAAAATGGCATTAGTGTAAACAGCTGAAACATATTTTTACTATATAAAATTCTCGTGTCACTATGTTCGTTCCCATACACCTCCGAAACGGCTCGTCTGATTCTGATGAATTTTTTACGCATATTCAGTAAGTCTGAGAATCGACTACTATCTTTCAAACCTCTAAGTGATAAGGGGTGTCCACACCAAAAACAATTTTTTTTTGACAATATTTTTTGTTTTAATTTTTTCATTATGTATCATACAAAATTACTTACAACCCCTAATTTTTACCCCTCTACGATAAACCCCTTTTTATTATAGTAGATAGTTGAATTTATTGAACTAAAAAAAGGTTTCCTAGAAATAATATACATGGCAAAACAACGTTTGCCGGGTCAGCTAGTTTTACTATAATATTGAAGTGAATGCAATTTGCAGAAATTGTAAATTTAATTCCTGGTTCAAAATGAAATAATATTTCTATACAATACTAAAAAGAACCTTTTTGGATTACGACTTTATTTGTACGAGTACCTGTTTAGGATACAATTTCCTGGAATTGTATTACAAAAAATTCAATGCCATAAGGAAATGTCTACGCAAATTGTTTAAGGAATAATTACTTATCAAAATTGGTAAAATACTTATTATAAATTGTGTATCGCAACAGCAATGAATACTCCGCAAAAGTGTGGTTTTAAAAACATTTTTCGACGATAACGATATAACGATATTAATAACGATATAAGCCTCTTTTTAATAAGTACTACATTTATCAAATCTCCATACGAAATTTGGTTTAATATATGAATTCCCGAGCAAAATTCAAAGCTGAGAATAGAAAGAGAAAAAACTATATTTACTCAATAAAGACGAAGAAAGTCTTTGAGTAGCATTTTTTTACGCCAATAGTAAATTCATTCTTTGTACGGTAATATTTACGTACTGAAATGCAAAATAAAGATAAACAGTGTTACTTTTATTTGCCTAAAACCTTACGAAAATAGTGTAAAAATCATCAATTACGTTTGATACAATATTTTGTACGGTTTGACGTAATATATACGTCACTAAAAAAAGTAATAAAATCTTATAATGTGACTATGGATTATTTGTGTCCCCGTTCGCGTTAAGATTATAAACTGATGTTATAAGCTGCAAAATCCCAGGTGGAGAACTTCTGTCTTGTAATCCTATTAACCGTATGTCTTTATGACCCATTACTTTGATTTTAATGGTAATTTTAAACAAATCTGCTATTAAAACAAGTCATTAGGTGTCCAAAACTATTGTTCATGGTTAAGAAAACAATTTTGTTAATTGTAAATAATTAAGACTTATAATGAAACATGCTGTTATTATTGTTTGAATCGGGCTTGTATTGCTTTTAATTACCTGCAAATACGACTGGATGGTAACGTCAGATGGACGGTCAGTAATGAGGAAGCGCATGCTCTTGTACTCGATGAGCGATGGCGCCGGTCTGATGTCCTTCTGCTTCATGGTGACGGCTGCTCCTTCGCTGGGATTAACTCAACTGCCTCTCACTCAGGTGTTCACGTAAACCACGCGACCAGTCAAAGTCTTACAGACAAATTGTCACTCTATTTCCACACAACACACTTCAGTTTCGTGACTTTTTTTTTGAAAGGGTCCAATTATATAATGAGGACCACCCACATGGAGGTCGCTTTCAAACACTTGAGCACATCCGAAGACAAATAAACGAAGGATCGGAATTGGGTTACCAAATTAAAATGATACTGCGAACATAAGCCGGCAACTTGATGATATGCTTCTTAAGGGTCCGAATTTAAGGTAACTGAAACAAAATGTTTTAAATTATGAAATGCTTCAAAGCGTTAGAGCGAGAGGGAAACGTTTTAAAAATAGATTATTAAGTTTCGGTCATGTGAGCATGTCCAGCGCTCGAGGTATTCTGAGAGACTGCCAATGGAGCGTCACTGGCAGTCGCTGCCCCTGTGTACACAACTAGTGATAACATGATAGTAAACACTACGCAATAATCATTTAATTGTGTACATAGATAAATACTTCTCAAATGAATCGATATCCAAGGTTATCAAGGTGGGCTTATTAATCTGACATTGAACTTGGCCCATGCCAATAGCTCGCTTCAAAGTAAACGTTCAGATTTAATATTACTAAGATATGTCCTTTATAACTCACTAGACGACGCCAACATCTTCCAATTCATATAGTGCAACAGGCTCAAGTGGCTGGCCCAAGATCCTTACTGAACTCACAACCCGGTGGCAAGAGAAAACCCGGTGGCAAGAGAAAACCCGGTAGACGGAGGTTGCGTTGTTGGGATGGAGTTGTCAAGGACCTCGAAACAATAGGGGTTCGCAATTGGACGCGGGTAGCACTGGATAGATTGCGATAGCGTAGTGTAATTGAGGAGACTAAGGCCCACAAGGGGCTGTATAACCATTGATGATGATGAATATATGTTTTTGGGGATAATTATCCGTTACCTGTGGGTGGGTAGATATCGCGTAATGCTTGGGTGCGTGGTCTAAGCGTGCTCGCGCCAGCATGGGTCCAGTAAAACACCCCACTACTTTGCCTCCACTAGACGCCCTCCTGTTTATTTGTGTTGGGCCTGGCAGTACTCCGCGCTGTCCAAGCGGAACTCCATCAATGTCGCCACAGAACGAATGCTCAGCTGCAACAATAAACATGATCTTAAAATGACGCACTATTTTCACTCGACATACATTTATACCGCTAATTATAGAAACAGCTCAATTTGTCACTAGTCGTGTGAGTCACCTTTGTTTGGTGTAAATTTTTTCTTGTTTGAATATTTTATCGTAGATTTAGTTTGATAACATCAACGCACATACAGCTTCTTTTAGGTCACTTACTAAATATGCAATTCACTAAAATACCGCGCATAAAACTGGCGAAAAACAACCGTTTGCAAATGATTTATATTATTACGTTGTTTAGTGTTTTTGTGACTTTTAGCACTGAGAAGACGACGCCACACATGTTGGCAACTAGTTTTGAGGACAAAATTTAGCGAAAAGTAGTTCGTCTCTGGCACTGACTACGCAAATCGCGATTTATCCAACAAAACTGAAGCAAATATTTTTAAAGTGTTTTTTCACAGGTTTCATTGAAAGAGACGTTGCCAAAGCTTGGGTAAGAGCCAAAAGACCGGAGTTCGACTGATGATTTGAATTTTGCGTTTGGTTCCGTTGTTTAAAACGAAAGAAGTATTCAAAATTAATAAATTATGTAGGCCCGTTTTAGTCACGTTGTCAATAAAAGTGACGTTAAGAATGAAAAAAGTTGACCTTTTTCTTGCAGAGTATATTTTAGAGGCTTATAAGCAAAAGGTTTCAGAGATAAAAACGTTTACCCTCCGTCGACGAGACGGTCGATAAACTCCAGACCAGACTTCCCGAACACACATTTAACAATGCAGACATTTTCAATTTACCATTTTAGTAATCTCCCCAGTGTCTAGCCATTTTAATGGACATAATAGGTATATAAAATTTATAGTCAAATATCAAGAACCTCTGAAAACGTTTCATTTGCAGCTTTTGACCTTTGAAGTGCGTTTCAGTATTGATGTGGAATTAAAATGCAAATTTGTCCCGCAATCACCTAACCTATACAATATTCGAGAAACCGTGGGTAGCTGTCTATCAATATCGTTGGCATTTGGCAACGGCTATAATAAACTATGAAATTTAATAGACCACTAAGTTTTGAATTCCAGTTATAGAAGTACACGTGGCGAACCGGAGACTAGCCACAAAGGACATCAGAACCACAATATCTGTTGTCATTGGGATCATATTCCAGATATTCATCTATTGTACATACATTTTGTGCCATTTAAAAATATTTCTTTGGAAATGGAAAAGTTTTAGCAGTGAATTCGTAGACAGTAAAACAAAATGTTGGTAGCTAATCATAGATGCAGCGGAAACATTTAGCTTGCAAGGTCGTCCACGACACAACTGGCCTCAGTGTTCAACGCTAATGCGGTATAATTCTAGGAAATCAGTAATGAATTGTTATCAGGACCATTGAGATTTCGCCAACGATTAGATCTATAAATAGAAACCGCATTATTTCTCCATAAAATGGTTTTAGTCAAACTAAAACGCAATAATCGAAATACGTATTTAACGAAGAATGATTCGAATCGTCAACGACTAGTCACTTTCCGTGCGGATTGATCCCTTGGCGTTGCGTAAAGAGGTGGGGTCTCTCTGCATCTTGTACAGCAGTTTTCAGAGTAGTTGTTCGGTCTAATATCTGCAGCTGAGTTTCGTTATCGGGCGTCAAGGCAGAATACAAAATACCATCTGTATCACCTCGACGTCCCTCGTTCCACAACTGGGCGTTATTTAAGGTAGTTTTTGCCGCGCACCACCACTATGTTGGAACCAGCTGCCCATTGAAGTATTTCCGAACCAATTCGACTTAGGGTCCTTCAAGAAAAGAGCGTACCAATTCTTGAAAGGCCGGCAACGCACTTGCGAGCCTTCTGCAATGTGAGTGTCCATAGGCGGCGGTATCACTTAACATCAGGTGAGCCTCCTGCCCGTTTGTCTCCTATTACAAAAAAAACTGCAAGATCGAGTAGTCTCTCATTGGTTAAGCAAGGGGAACCCATCTTTTGAATCGTATTTTGATTTGAGCAAATATAACACGGTTTTAGTATTTATTATGGCTTTTCTCAACGATAACATTTGCAAGGCGTTTTCGTTGTTGTTACGAACAAAAAAAACATTTTAGACATAAACACTTTTGAAATACAATCTTCAACAGGTGTTCAATGTTTGTGAAACAAATGCTTATCTCCTGGGATTAGGTGAGCACGGCCATACTTTAAGACTTGTTTATACTTAAGTCACGTTCTATCCTAACAAGATAAAGCTGTGGCTTAAAGTAGTAAAATTACACTATGTAAAATATATATATTATCTATTGTATCATCGTGTGTTTATCAAGGCGCTAATCTCAAGAACTAATGATCCAAATTGAAAAAAATCTCCTTGTTAGATAGTCAATTTATTAAGGAAAACTATATTGGTTTTTTTTTATAGAACGGGGGGCAAACGGGCAGAAGGCTCACCTGATATTAAGTGATACCGCCGCCCATGGACACTCTTAATGCCAGAGGGCTCGCGAGTGCGTTGCCAGCCTTTTAAGAATTGGTACGCTCTTTTCTTGAAGGACCTTAAGTCGAATTGGTTCGGAAATACTTCAGTGGGCAGCTGGTTCCACATAGTGATGGTGCGCGGACAAAAACTGCCTTGAAAAACGCTCAGTTGTGGAAAATATATCTATATAACATCAGGCTGTGACCGAATTACAGCGCGGGTCACAGCAAGTTCCATATTCTCCGTAGCGTTGACCTGTAGCTTGCAATTTAATAAGTATAAATCATTATAAAACAATTAATTGTTTCTAATGCGTTGTGAAGGCCATAGTAACAAACTGCTTATTAAAAAGCGATCATTTAGATACTGATACAAGTAATTTTGAACGAAGAAAATGCGTTTAAATTCCGAAAATAATTACAAGTCTTCCCGTGTATTTGTTATTCAAAGATAAAATAACATGTTCACGACGCAGATGATTCTATCATATTTTAATTACATCGTAATTAAGTCTAAACGCGTTTGTTTATCATAAGTCACCTAGAGATTTATTAATGCTTGAATATTCCAGATATGTGTATATTATTAGATTTATTGGCATCAGACGTATTAAATTTGAATTGTTTTATAGCTAAATGATTGCAGTTATTTGTTGTTATCTAAACAATTATGGCTAGTAAAAGCTATTGTTCAATGCCAAAGAACATTTATTTGATCGTTTCTAAAACTAAGTTTTAAAATGCTAACTGCGCAATGAATTTTGGTTTTCCCAAGTTTCAGTTATTGCATTGTAGACTATTGTAATCATCATATAATTAAATTATAATAGTATGTTTATTTCAGAAATTATTCAGATTTTCCTTATTCCACGATTGTCTAATGCTGACTAAAGACCAATTTACGAATTCCGGTTACAAAACCTTTAACTGATATTTTCAAAAGCACCCAGAACATATTAAATATTGTTTTAACAAAAACTAGAGAAACATTATTATTTTTTTACTGGACCATTATTTTTAATGGACTTTCCTACCTGGCAAAATTGTCTGACATTTAGCGATAAGATTAACGTTCACCGACTTCTTTGTGTTTATGAGAGGACAGGAATATACTAAAACACCTGTTGCTCTCGACTTATAGATAAACGACAAAGTCACAAAAAAAGGTTTTCGGTGCATTGTGCCATCGTCACAAAACATTTACCTGACTCTTGCACATTGAGAACATCCAACTAAAAAGAAACGTATAAATTCCCGTCAACTTAAGTCACGCACGCACAACACTAGACTCTAGAGAATTCGTTCTCAAAACGTGTCAGTAAAGCGGGACACCGAGGTTAATGATGACACAGAAACGCCACTTACATGTATCCAACGCGACGAATACGGCTGAACTCAAAAAGTTAATGAACTGATCTGTATAGAAAATAAACGAAGCAATTCACACGCAATAGTGGCTGTCGTCGTAGACAGTGAGAAGGTTTAGGCGTTCACATTGCAACGGGTCGACACGGTCCGTGCCGCGATCGAGCAGAGCAGAGACTGGCACGAACTTGTGGCGCGCTGGCGAGCTGACCGCGACGCCGACGTCACGACGGCGGTGGGTGCGGATGGCGTCACCTCCGCTAACATGTGCCCGTCACGGACGCACACTCGCTCAACGAGCTATTAAACTTTTCACGAAACTTTACCAAGTTCATAACGTGCGTGCTTAGACTAAACAGTAATTAATTGGAACATAAGCATCAGTGGACATTGGACAATAGATACCCAGACAAAACACGATCTTAAATCTCGAATTATAGTAAGTCATTCAGTCGACTAAAGGTAGAATTCAAACAAAACTAGAATTTGAAAATAACGAAAGAATTTAGGTCACTTCCTACGCACTAAATACGGGAACATTTTACAAATCAAACAATACAGGTTATATAAATAACGCCAAGTAATGGATCTTATGGAAAAGGATAAAGATAATAAATTTATTGTCTGTGAAAGTAGTCCAGATAGATTTAGGTTTCCAGAGAAATAGGTGGGCGTTTCGCAATCCTGTCGCGTGTAGGCGTCTCCTACGCTGTTCCACTGAGTTGCACATTAATGTAATTCATAAATATTTGTCTACCTACTCTCAAACAATCTGTTTTAATCTTCGTTTACAAAACAATCTAATATATAAAAAAATTGTGTCACAATGTTCGTTCCCATACTTCTCCGAAACGGCTCGACCGATTCTTATGAATTTTTTATGCATATTCAGTAAGTCTGAGAATCGGCTACTATCTATCTTTCAACCCCTTAAGTGAAAAGGGGTGTCCACCCCAAAAAGAATGTTAAAATTTTTTAGACAATTTTTTTATGATACAACATACAGAAATACATAAAACCCTTAATTTTCACCCCTCTACGATCAACCCCTATTTTTATTATAGTAGATAGTTATTTTTATTAAACTAAAAAAATGTTTCCTAGAAATAATATACATGGCAAAACGACGTTTGCCGGGTCAGCTAGTGTCTATGTATAATTTGACCGCTAAAGACTTATCAATAGTGA